ATCAAGGCGCCACTTAATTCCTCTGGTCACAAAATACGTTCGCCAAGGGACCACGGTGATAACGGACATGTGGAGGGCATACATCACTGCAATCGCAGAAAGTGGCTTTGTAACTACTGTTTTTGATGCATTACTTTACTTGAGGGGACACATACTGCTTAAGGAATGGTAAAGTAAGCATTAGGTAATGGGTAACTACTGTTTTAGATGCATTACTTTACTTGAGGGGACACATACTGCTTAAGGAATGGTAAAGTAATCATTAGGTAATGGGTAACTACTGTTTTAGATGCATTACTTTACTTGAGGGGACACATACTGCTTAAGGAATGGTAAAGTAATCATTAGGTAATGGGTAACTACTGTTTTTGATGCATTACTTTACTTGAGGGGACACATACTGCTTAAGGAATGGTAAAGTAAGCATTAGGTAATGGGTAACTACTGTTTTTGTTTGCGTTCCTTGAGTTTACCGTACCCAAACGGCCTAAGTAATGGTAAGGTAAATAATGATGACTTAAGCAGTAAAACGTGAGTCGGATCCACCTCCACCAGTTGATCCAGTGTGGGACCCAAGCCAGCCGAAGATGGCAGGTTTAAAAGTGCCCTGCTGCAGCGGACCATTGCTTCAATCAAAGTCTCCCAGGAACTCCTCATTAAGTAACCATTAACGAATGATTCGTTAATGCAGTACCCCCCAGTCTGTTTACCAGTAACTAACCATCAGTTCCTCAATCGCAGTCCCTGAGGAACTACTCATTAACTAACCATTAACTATCTAGTAGTTCCTCAGTAACTAAGCAGTAACTAAGCACATTTTGTGTACCTTATTGTAAAGTGTTACCCTACTGATTAATCGACTATTTGGGGACAGCCTTAATTGTTAGTTCCACAGACAGTCTCTGGTTTAAACAGGTATCTGCGAAGATTAGTCAACTAATCGCCTGAAATGACAACTATTGGATCGACTACAATAATCTTTAGTCGTGGGCAGCCCTACACATGATATTAAAGAACAGTTTAAATGATCAGGTTATATACAATCTGAATCCTCTTCAGGTCAGGTTACAGTAGAAACTCTTACTTTGTGTCTGAGGGTCCAGGTTCATCTCTGAAGTCTGGAGGGTCCTCTTTAGACCGCTCACCCTTCAGAGACAGACAGCTGGAGACTGGAGATGTGTCCTCTTTCTCTTCTTTTAAATCACTCATCTTCTCCAGTCTGAGAGATAAACCAGTAACACTGGAGACACACACAATATAATAACACACCTGATTCAATCATGAAATGATAAACTTGGTTAAAAGTTAAAACACATTAAATGAGTCAGACTTCAGACAGGCCGCTCTCCTGTCACATGTTATGAAACTCTGAAGGCTCAAAAACCAAGAAATAAAAAAATGTTCCCAACATTTGAAGAGGTCTCATTGGACTCTAGGAAATATATATTTATGAACACATTATGTTCTCACATCCAGTATAACAGAGTAAATAGTGTGTTAAAAAGCAGATCCTGGTGTTAACACTCACCCTGTTGTCCTCCTGCTCTGTCGAAGTGTAAAATGGTGTCTGGCAGTTTGACTTCCTATTTTCAACCGTCCTCCCTGTCTGCAGCTCCTCCCTTTGTTTCATTACCAGCTGAACAGGTTCATGTTCAACCCTTTATGGAACCTTCCCTGGTGGTAGTTGATCTATTATATCAATAATGAGTTTAGTATCTAAAGTATCTAAATCTCTAAGGTACCCCAAACTCAAAATGCACAATAAAGGTTCATTCTAATTCTAGGTTTGTTTAGGATATTGGTTTAGCAAACTCTATAAACAAGTTAAGACCTCCAGCCAACACAATGACACACAGGACCACAACTTAGGAACATGTCAAATCAAAACATATAGATCAGAGAAAATACAATTACTCACAGTATGTATAAACTAAAAATGAAATAAAATGTATTAAAATGTTTCTGATAATCAATCTATGTTTATTTATATAGCCCAATATCACAAATGTTACATTTGTCTCAGTGGACTTCACAGTTTGTACAGAATATCAGTATGACAATACGACACCCTCTGTCCTTAGACCCTCTGTCCTTAGACCCTCTGTCCTTAGACCCTCTGTCCTTAGAGCCTCTGTCCTTAGACCCTCACATCGTACAAGGAAACACTTCCAGAGAAACCCCACAGTTTAAAGGAACATGGGAGAAACCTCAGGGAGAGCAACAGAGGAGGATCCCTCTCCCAGGACGGACACACGTGCAATAGATGCCGTGTGTCAATCAAAGAGATAATACATTTCACAGCGTAGGTAGACCACATGTTTGGAAATGCTTGTGTCTATAATAAGAAGATGAATCCACGAGGATGTCAACAATCCTGTGGGAGCCATCAGGGAAGTAGTATGATGAGAGTCAGGCAGGACCACAGAGACAGGTTCAGCCACGACTCGAAGTCCAGGACTCAAATCAGGACTCAGGACTCAGGACTCAGGTTCAGCCACGACTCGAAGTCCAGGACTCAAATCAGGACTCAGGATAGAGGATCCAGGACGCAGGACCACAGCAACAGGTTCAGCCACGACTCAGGATCCCGGCGTAGATATAGACAGCAAAAATACATTTGGGGGAAGCTGTGTTATTCGGAACATGAGAGTACACAGGTACAGACAGACAGAAGGAAGAAGTAAGGTGTTTAATAAAATGCTTTCAAAATGAATCAGAGATCTGTTTACAATGTTTAAAATAAAACTCCAAAGAAAGGTGTTCTTTAACCTGTCTCTACCTTCCTGTGGATCAACATCCACATATCATCCATAGGAGACACAACATCTACATATCATCCATAGGAGACACAACATCTACATATCATCCATAGGAGACACAACATCCACATATCATCCATAGGAGACACAACATCCACATATCATCCATAGGAGACACAACATCCACATATCATCCATAGGAGACACAACATCCACATATCATCCATAGGAGACACAACATCCACATATCATCCAGAGGAGACACAACATCCACATATCATCCATAGGAGACACAACATCCACATATCATCCATAGGAGACACAACATCCACATATCATCCAGAGGAGACACAACATCCACATATCATCCATAGGAGACACAACATCCACATATCATCCATAGGAGACACAACATCTACATATCATCCATAGGAGACACAACATCCACATATCATCCAGAGGAGACACAACATCTACATATCATCCTATTGATTTGAACACGATCCGTGTATCCATCATTTCCTGGTCTTCTCTAAAGAAGAGGGACCAATGAAAACGTTGTCATGTTGCCGTTGTTCAGCATGGAAACATTCATTAGCTAACAATGACATTATTGTTCTATTAATATAAAGGGAGGTCAGGTACTCTTTAAAACAGCTGCTAGTTATGGGTACTTTTTACTGAAGTACATTTCAAAGTTCTTTACTTTTACTTGAGTAAAGAAGTTTAGTCAGTACTTCTACTTTTACCAGAGTATTTTTAAACACGAGTATCTGTACATCTACTTGAGTACAGGATGTGTGTACTTCTACTTGAGTAAAGGATGTGTGTACTTCTACTTAAGTAAAGGGTGTGTACTTCTACCTGAGTACAGGATGTGTGTACTTCTACTTGAGTAAAGGATGTGTGTACTTCTACTTGAGTAAAGGATGTGTGTACTTCTACATGAGTAAAGGATGTGTGTACTTCTACCTGAGTAAAGGATGTGTGTACTTCTACATGAGTAAAGGATGTGTGTACTTCTACTTGAGTACAGGATGTGTGTACTTCTACTTGAGTACAGGATGTGTGTACTTGTACCTGAGTAAAGGATGTGTGTACTTCTACCTGAGTAAAGGATGTGTGTACTTGTACCTGAGTAAAGGATGTGTGTACTTCTACCTGAGTAAAGGATGTGTGTACTTGTACCTGAGTAAAGGATGTGTGTACTTCTACATGAGTAAAGGATGTGTGTACTTCTACTTGAGTAAAGGATGTGTGTACTTCTACATGAGTAAAGGATGTGTGTACTTCTACCTGAGTAAAGGATGTGTGTACTTGTACCTGAGTAAAGGATGTGTGTACTTCTACCTGAGTAAAGGATGTGTGTACTTCTACCTGAGTAAAGGATGTGTGTACTTCTACCTGAGTAAAGGATGTGTGTACTTGTACCTGAGTAAAGGATGTGTGTACTTGTACCCTCTCTGCTCCCTGTCGGGAAATTCATTATTTTAACAGCAACAGGTAAGAATGAAACACAACACAGATTCACACAGATTCATAGAATTAAAGATAAAATCGAAGATAAAAACACAATTATATACAGTTAAGTAACTTTAAAATAAGAAATTAATTAAAATGAACATAAATACATATTGGGTCATACATATATAAGTCAATGCAAAGACGCGCTAGATGCAAATTCGTACATAATATTCATAATGTTCACAAGTTTGCTTAAAACCTTCCTGTTGTTCCTGAATGATGTGTTGTATTCAGATCAGGGTGTCAGACTCAAGGCCTCAGTTAATGTGGCCCAGCAAGAGCTCGCAAAGAATATAATATACAATACAATTGGTGTAATTGTTGAATATTTGCTTTCAATTATTTGACTTTCAGACGTAGTTATTCATGAAGTTATTACCCTATCCGATAATAATCCAATGCAGAGGCATTAATGTTATATAATACATTATTTGATATATATTATATATTTATATAGTCTTAAAGTTACAACCGGCCCTTTGAGTGAAACTATAATGCTGAGGAACCCCTGGTTTAGATGAACAGCCTCTGGTGTAATAAAGTGCTGCCTGTAAACATTGGAAAGGTTTAAAACAGAGCCCTGACTACGTGTCGACATTAACCAGTCTGAGATCATCCATCACATTTATCTATCATAGAATCTGTTTTAGGTGTAAACGAGGTTTTTTGACAATAAATAATACAAAAAAAGATAAATAATGAGTTGGAGTTAAATTAAAAGGTTAACCAAGATCTGGGTTTTCATTTAAACGATATGTTGTATAAACAGCATCATGACTCATTAATGAGCTGTCTGATGGCAGCACCGGATGCATTAGATATGTTTAGTTTCATGTATGCTTGCCTGTGTGTGTGCTAGATCCTAATGAAGAACATCAGTCTGTATTGTGGGGGGGTTTACCAGGGGGTGTGAGGCTCTTCAGGATTCAGTGTGAACGGGTCCTCGGGGAAGATGTCCTCGAACGGCTCGTCTTCCTCGTTCTTCGTCACCTGGTCTTCCTCGTTCTTCGTCACCTGGTCTTCCTCGTTCTTCGTCACCTGGTCTTCCTCGTTCTTCGTCACCTGGTCTTCCTCGTTCTTCGTCACCTGGTCTTCCTCGTTCTTCTGGACGGGGCTGAAAGCTCGCGGAGACAAAACCCGCCCGACGTTAAAGCTGGCGACGACCTCGCTGACCCTGTGGGACGTTTACAAAGAATGAAGAGGATGCAAGTGGTTCATCGTATAGCTTCTCCTTATTTAAAGGTCTCCTATTATACTTTTTTTAAGCGTATATTATGGGTCTCAGATATATAAAAAACATGTCTATGAAGTGTTTTGCTCAAAATACCAAATAGGTCATTCTAGCCTCATCTCCCTCTATTTCAGCTGTTACTAAAGTAATGATTCTGAGTCTGTAGCTTTAAAAACGGTTAGGGTTAACCCTAAAAAAGAGAGTAGGTCTCATCAGGAGAATTCTCCCAGCAGAAACTCAGCTAAATGCTGTCCGTAATTAATATCATGTTTCTGAAACAGCTCAAACTCTTTTTCTCTCTCAGGTTTACCACAAGGTGAGAAAAGGTGCATTTTGCATTATAGGAGACCTTTAAATAGGTCTGCTTCTCTTCTATATATCACAGGGCGTAACTCACCCGGCCTCCCTCGCCTCGCAGCGATACTTCCCGAAGGTGTGGGCGGTGGCGATGAAGCTCAACGCGCCGTCAGCTGATCGCAGGAAGTGACTCTGCGGGAGGTTTGTGAAGCAAGAGGACGTCCAGGTCAGAGAGGACGGCTGAGACGGCTTCACACAGGGAAGAATCACCACCTCGTTCACAGCAGCAAAGACCTCTGAAGTGGAGAAAGAACATCAGAATAAACTAAAAGGGAGAGCTAGCTTTAGCCGGGATGCTAGCGAAAAGCGCTGCCCAAAAGTGAGCTAAAGGGAAGAGTCCTAATCCATTCACTTCCTGTCACCTGGTCTGGAGCTCAATGGTTTCCCCAATGTGTTTCTGGTTGTTATCCTGAAATCAGGTCTGTGGTTAACACAACCTGGAGAGATTTTAACGCTTTGTTCTACCACATAAAATATGTCAGTAAATCACCCGTGTCCCTGGGTCACGTTAGCTGTTAGCTGTTAAGTGTTAGCTGTTAGCTGTTAGCGCACTCAAGCTGGTTTCTCCATTCTTACCTACCCTACCTTTAAATGTTAGCTGTTAGCTGTTAAGTGTTAGCTGTTAAGTGTTATAATAATAATATTGGGAGGGATGAAAACCTCTTTAACGGTCACACATGCAGAGCACACAGCACACACAGTGACATTTGTTCTCTGCTTTTAACCCATCCTAGTGCCAGGAGTCTAGTACCAGGAGCAGTGGGCAGCTATTGCACAGCGCTTGGGGAGCAATGGGGGTAGGGGGTTGTCCGGTGCCTTGCTCAAGGGCACCACGGCAGGGCAGGAGGTGAACTGGGACCTCTCCAAGTAGCAGTCCACACTCCATTGTTAGGTCTGTTCGGGGACTTGAACCAGCGACCCTACGGCTAGCTGCTAGCTGTTATCTGTTAGCTGTTAAGTGTCGACTGTTAGCTGATAAATAATAATAATACATTGGATTTGTATAGCGCTTTTCCTAATGCGCAAAGACGCTTTACATAAAATCAGAACAGAAACAGTAGCCTACAAAGAAAACAAAAAACATAAACAGCAGTCCTTATCCAAAGGTGGGGTAGGTAATTTTGGAGAAACCGGCTTGAGATCGCTAGAATTTGAAAATACACAACCGGAGAAAATCTGCCACTTCCTCACAGAGCCCCTCCTCCAACACACACGAACGTGCACATGACCAATGAGGGCACGAGATAAGTTTGTGCACAGATGGAAGGCTGACAGGCAGGTAGGCCATCCAGTTATTTTAGCCGGGCCGGCTCAGATGATTGGCCGTGCTTTTTACAGTACCACGGCTTCCACTGATGATATTTTTTAATGGATTTGTTGTCAAAGCACTTCAGATATTCATTGCTATCGGGATGTTAAGAGCATTCCATGGAATATAACAACAAGTGTATCTCTAGCCGGTTTCTCAAACTTACCTACCCCACCTTTATCTAAGTGGTAGCTATTATCTGTTAGCTGTGAGATGCTAGCTGTTAGCTGCTAAAAGTTACCTGTGTCCCGGATGGCCTTAGTTTCTCCTTGACATTGTACTTTCACGTTTCCGTCCTCCAGGTCCTGAGCCCTGAGGGGGAAACAGCCTGTCAGTCACTACCCAGGAACACATTACACATTACACAACACTACACTACACTACACAACATTACACAACATTACACAACATTACACAACATTACACAACATTACACAACATTACACCACAGCACTCGTCAGTTTATTTCATTACTTTCTCCTGTAAATAATTAGAAGACAGTAATTTAGAAAACAGTTGAGAAGATTTCACCAGTTACAGTGAAATAGAGGGGGAAGAGGCTAGAATGATCTGTTTGGTATTTTGAGCAAAACACTTCATAGACATGTTCATGAGACCTATAATATATGCCTAAAAATAGTAAAATAGGAGACCTTTAAGGTAACTTTCCCCGCTCTGCTCTCCAGCGTGACAGTTAAATAGCAAAACAAACAACTCTAATAGTGATAAAGGTAAGGTACATGTGTGGATGGTTGGCGTCCGGCGCTGTGCAGACGCTTCCGGTCCGGCTCCAGCCACACTGAGGGTCTCGGGCCAGAACACATTGACTGCAGCTGCTGTGGACAGAGCAGCGAGACACCGGGACCCCCGTCACCCCCTCAGACGTCCCCACATACAGCATCCCCTGCAACAGATACTCACTTTCAGAGATGGCAAGAGTAGACACATCCTTTACTCAAGTAGAAGTACAGATACTCGTGTTTAAAAATACTCTGGTAAAAGTAGAAGTACTGACTAAACTTCTTTACTCAAGTCAAAGTAAAGAGGGCTTTGAAATGTACTTCAGTAAAAAGTACCCATAACTAGCAGCTGTTTTAAAGAGTACCTGACCTCCCTTTATATGAATAGAACAATAATGTCATTGTTAGCTAATGAATGTTTCCATGCTGAACAACGGCAACATGACAACGTTTTCATTGGTCCCTCTTCTTTAGAGAAGACCAGGAAATGATGGATACACGGATCGTGTTCAAATCAATAGGCACGCAAATGACTCTAAATAATAATGATCACGCCCACCAAACACACATTCAAACTAAAGGAAACCAGCCTGTTTGGAAATTTGAGAGAGTAGAAAGTACAGGTATTTGGGTTCAACATGTAAGAAGTAGAAAGTACAGGTATTGTGTTCAACATGTAAGAAGTAGAAAGTACAGGTATTTGAGTTCAACATGTAAGAAGTAGAAAGTACAGGTATTTGTGTTCAACATGTAAGAAGTAGAAAGTACAGGTATTTGAGTTCAACATGTAAGAAGTAGAAAGTACAGGTATATTGTACGTTCAACATGTGAGAAGTAGAAAGTACAGGTATTTGTGTTCAACATGTAAGAAGTAGAAAGTACAGTTCACATGTAAGAAGTAGAAAGTACAGGTATTTTGAGTTCAACATGTAAGAAGTAGAAAGTACAGGTATTTGTGTTCAACATGTGAGAAGTAGAAAGTACAGGTATTTGTGTTCAACATGTAAGAAGTAGAAAGTACAGGTATTTGAGTTCAACATGTAAGAAGTAGAAAGTACAGGTATTTGTGTTCAACATGTAAGAAGTAGAAAGTACAGGTATTTGGGTTCAACATGTGAGAAGTAGAAAGTACAGGTATTTGTGTTCAACATGTAAGAAGTAGAAAGTACAGGTATTTGTGTTCAACATGTAAGAAGTAGAAAGTACAGGTATTTGTGTTCAACATGTGAGAAGTAGAAAGTACAGGTATTTGTGTACAACATGTAAGAAGTAGAAAGTACAGGTATTTGTGTTCAACATGTGAGAAGTAGAAAGTACAGGTATTTGTGTTCAACATGTAAGAAGTAGAAAGTACAGGTATTTGTGTTCAACATGTAAGAAGTAGAAAGTACAGGTATTTGGGTTCAACATGTAAGAAGTAGAAAGTACAGGTATTTGTATTCAACATGTAAGAAGTAGAAAGTACAGGTATTTGTGTTCAAAATGTAAGAAGTAGAAAGTACAGGTATTTGTGTTCAACATGTAAGAAGTAGAAAGTACAGGTATTTGTGTTCAACATGTAAGAAGTAGAAAGTACAGGTATTTGGGTTCAACATGTAAGAAGTAGAAAGTACAGGTATTTGTATTCAACATGTAAGAAGTAGAAAGTACAGGTATTTGGGTTCAAAATGTAAGAAGTAGAAAGTTCAGGTATTTGGGTTCAAAATGTAAGAAGTAGAAAGTACAGGTATTTGGGTTCAACATGTAAGAAGTAGAAAGTACAGGTATTTGGGTTCAACATGTAAGAAGTAGAAAGTACAGGTATTTGGGTTCAACATGTAAGAAGTAGAAAGTACAGGTATTTGTGTTCAACATGTAAGAAGTAGAAAGTACAGGTATTTGGGTTCAACATGTAAGAAGTAGAAAGTACAGGTATTTGGGTTCAACATGTAAGAAGTAGAAAGTACAGGTATTTGGGTTCAAAATGTAAGAAGTCAAATTTAAAAGTCTTCAGAAAAATAAGTAGTGGAGTAAAGTACTGATACCAGAAAAATGTACTTAAGGACAGTAACGAAGTATTTGTACTCCACTACTTCCCACCTCTGGTCACTTTGATATGACATACAACGTAAAAGAATATATATAATAAGTGGTTTGGTAAATTGAGTTTATTGAAGGTGTGTCTTTGTTTTTTTTGTCTCTATGTGCAGCATAAAAGCACTGGTTGAGAGGGAGAAAGCTCCAGAGCCAGGTTTCTACTTGGTAAGTCCTCTCAAATTCACTTGTTTTGAATGTATTGTTGAATGAAAGTTTTAATGTGTTTTTTACCACCGACCATTTAAGAGGATATTCCTCTAAATTGGAATAATTAAAATGTCACAACTGAAGTGAGCAGTTTAAGTTAGAATTGAAATGTCACAACTGAAGTGGGCCAGTTGAAGTTAGAATTGAAATGTCACAACTGAAGTGGGCCAGTTGAAGTTAGTATTTAAATGTCACAACTGAAGTGGGCCAGTTGAGGTTAGAATTGAAATGTCACAACTGAAGTGGGCCAGTTGAGGTTAGAATTGAAATGTCACAACTGAAGTGGGCCAGTTGAAGTTAGAATTGAAATGTCACAACTGAAGTGGGCCAGTTGAAGTTAGTATTTAAATGTCACAACTGAAGTGGGCCAGTTGAGGTTAGAATTTAAATGTCACAACTGAAGTGGGACAGTTGAAGTTAGAATTTAAATGTCACAACTGAAGTGGGCCAGTTGAGGTTAGAATTTAAATGTCACAACTGAAGTGGGACAGTTGAAGTTAGAATTTAAATGTCACAACTGAAGTGGGCCAGTTGAGGTTAGAATTTAAATGTCACAACTGAAGTGGGCCAGTTGAATTTAGAATTGAAATGTCAAAACTGAAGTGGGCCAGTTGAGGTTAGAATTTAAATGTCACAACTGAAGTGGGCCAGTTGAGGTTAGAATTTAAATGTCACAACTGAAGTGGGACAGTTGAAGTTAGTATTTAAATGTCACAACTGAAGTGGGCCAGTTGAGGTTAGAATTGAAATGTCACAACTGAAGTGGGCCAGTTGAGGTTAGAATTGAAATGTCACAACTGAAGTGGGCCAGTTGAAGTTAGAATTGAAATGTCACAACTGAAGTGGGCCAGTTGAAGTTAGTATTTAAATGTCACAACTGAAGTGGGCCAGTTGAGGTTAGAATTTAAATGTCACAACTGAAGTGGGACAGTTGAAGTTAGAATTTAAATGTCACAACTGAAGTGGGCCAGTTGAGGTTAGAATTTAAATGTCACAACTGAAGTGGGACAGTTGAAGTTAGAATTTAAATGTCACAACTGAAGTGGGCCAGTTGAGGTTAGAATTTAAATGTCACAACTGAAGTGGGCCAGTTGAATTTAGAATTGAAATGTCAAAACTGAAGTGGGCCAGTTGAGGTTAGAATTTAAATGTCACAACTGAAGTGGGCCAGTTGAGGTTAGAATTTAAATGTCACAACTGAAGTGGGACAGTTGAATTTAGAATTGAAATGTCACAACTGAAGTGGGCCAGTTGAGGTTAGAGTTTAAATATCACAACTGAAGTGGGCCAGTTGAAGTTAGAACGAGAGAAGGTAAAAACCTGTAAAAGTGTGGACCATTTTCTTCAAATAAAATCATCCCACCCTTTTGGATTGGGACAATTTAAAGAAATCTGCGTCCTCTCCTGCTTAAAGGTACGATCGCACACTGCCACACTCACACTCAGGCAGGGCCACACCTCATTACTGATACCAGAATCCTACGGGATCGCTTAAACAGATTTAGCGTGTCGTCTGAATTGAAACAGAAGTTAATTGAACCTGGTTCTTCAGGAGTTAGTAGAGGTGAGACCTTGCTGATCCAGGTGGATCCGAGCCTGGCAGCAAACTTACTTAGACTCAATAGCTTCTGTTAGGTCAATTAGTAGGTCTGAGTAATTGCCGGAATAAATTAACAGGCCTCCCGACTCCAACAATATCATAAACGTTTGTTTGACACAGAGATTATTTTCTGACATAATCCAAAATCCCATGGAGAAATCCCATTGGACCAGGAGATGCTGCCTTCAGGGACCAACACAGAAATACAACATCCCTGCACCTCTCTATAGAGTGGCGAAGTCACGCCCATCTACTTCCTGTCCATGGGACCTTATTTCGGAAAAATTATGCATTGAAGTCAATGGGGAGAGAAAACTTATCTTTCGATCCCGTTTGAATTGTGCCATGAATTACACATATGATGTTTGTCAATCTTAAAAAATCATTTCCATGTCAAAAAAGTCACAGTTTGTCTTAAAACTGTTGAAATATAAGACTTTGAAAAATACGAAACTAGAAAGACTACAAATCCCAGAGTCGCGTAAGTGATGTCACAATTGAGACACTACGATACACGTATAATACCGTATATATACGATCAGCGCCATATAGATAGAATCTATCTATATGGCGCTGGCTAAGATAAGATAACTTTAACAAGATGCCTGTGTGCTTAGTACCAGGTTGTTATCATACCAGCAATGGGTCTTGCTCGTTCTTTCGCTTCCCGTCTGATGAAAGAGGAGTGTGTAGATCAAGTTAGCTACCTAGCTAGTAGCTAGCACGTTAGTTAGCATTACAGCCTTGTCATTTTTATTAGCCTTAACATGAAGTAACATTAAGTAACCCAAAATGTTAAACAGTACGAGTAGTAGTCATATTTCGTGAACCCTTTGAATAGTACTGTCACCGGTGTGATCATTCTATAATACACAATTTAAGCCCGGGGGAGAAATGCTAACGCTAATGCTAGCGATCTTCTCTACTTCATGCTATCTGCACAAATGGTTGACATTAAACATTAAAACGACCGGGCAGTTCAGAGAGAATCAAAGGAAGGCAGGCAGGCAGCTTTGCATGACTTTCTTCAGGACGTGTTTCATTGTGGTGATTAGTGAAGGTAAGCCAATCGTTTTGTTGACAGTAGTGACGGCCATCTTGGTGACGTGTGTTGTTCTGTGAGACCAGAGATGTAGTTCATTGAGCGTTTCACACAAACAAATGTGTTACTTCACAGTTTTACGACACATTTTATTTTTTTTGACTTGCAAAATTATCTTTTAAATTGACAAACATCATATGTGTAATTCGTGGCACAATTCAAACGGGATCGAAAGATAATCTTTCTCTCTCCATTGACTTCAATGCATAACTTTTCCGAAATAAGGTCCCATGGAGGTCCACTGGAAGGGGAGGGACTTCGCCACTCTATACTGCCAAAGATGGCTTAATGCAACTCTAGACACATTAGAACATGGGTAAATACCATCATCATCATCAGACATATAGTAAACCATAAAAAAGGGCTTTAAAACCTAATTTCTGAAAATCAAGTTAATTTTGACTGTTTAGCTAAATATTTCCATCCCTCCAGATGAGTGTTGCGTACCTTTGAGGAGGAGAGGACGATGCTTTTGACGATCTGAGGCTGAGTGAAGACCTGAATCTCCTCAATCACCCGAGATCCTCCAGCCAGCAAAAGCACTTTGTGGAGGAACCCGGACTCTGCAGGATCAGAGAGGACGAACACGGTATTATCAAAATATTTAGATAGAATAGAACAACTGATCAGAATCAGGGACAGGTTTGTTGCCAAGTAGGTTTACACCAACGAGGAACTTGCCTTGGTGAGTATCCTGTCTTGTAAGCATATATTCCTGCTACTGACTGCAGTATTTTTGACTTTCTTTAGAACATTTTAATTATCCAGAAGTTCTATACTGTTTATATTTGATATTATATTTTTCATTTTATTTTTAGTTGTTAATTCTCTATTCCACTATTTTAAGTATTTTAATTGTAATGTCTGAACAGACTGATGATGCTTCTGTAACAAAATAATTTCCCAAATTGGGATAAATAAAGAATATATCTATCTATATTTATATATCTATCTATGGTGCGTAGATAAACACACTAAAAGACGCACAATTTGTTCCCCCGTTTTTAGAGATGTGGGTACGGAGGAAAAGAGAGAGGGTTTTATTTCCGGCACACCGGGGACACATATCCAGGGGTGGTTCTAAGGGGGGCCAACAAAGGCCAGTGCCCCTTAACGCTGACCAGGGACCCCACTCCAAAAAAAAAGGTTACAATATCACAATTTCTTGGAACTAAATCAAATCAGAGATCCGGATGTACAGTGGAGATTAAACTGTTCATTACCTTATAAAAGAAAATACTAATAATATTTATGTTTTTTAATTAAATTGTCACTTAAAGTTACTAAAACAAATACCAATTACTGTATTTCATATTTTGCACAATTACTTTATACTCTTTTAACCCGCTCTTATTGTGCCCCTCTCATGTAATAACCGGCCCCCCTGCCACGCGACTGTACCGCTGATCTGAAGAAACGAGCGGAGCGTCGTCCGACTTCACGCTGCCGCTCGTCAGGAAACTCTTCTTCACTTGAGATAATTCAGAATCTGTAGCGCTGTCCAGCCCACACTGTCAGCAGGACATGGAGGGGGGGTCACACGTTAACATTATCGTAGAAATGTATCACAAGTTCAAATTCAAAGGTTTTATCATCATATGCACATAAGCTACAGTGTAGGAATGGCAATGAAACTCTTCTGACCTGAGCTCCTCCAACAATGCAACGTATATAATAAAATAAAATAAATTGAAAATCCAAATAAAAAAATTGTGCAAAAAGTCTATATACATGCAAATAGAATATGATATGTTCAAGAACAGAATATGAAATGAATTAATTAAGACTAAATTAAATACGGTTTATTGCGGTGACAACTATTTATATAAATAAGTAGATTGCAAGATGACTAACAGATTAATGTTTATTGAGGCACTTCACAGAGCTCAGGTGTTTAATAGTCTTATGGCCTGTGGGATGAAACTGTCCCTGAGTCTGGAGGTTTGTGTCCGGATGCAATTTCTGTGAGAAAATGTACGCCTAGCTACTAAATGTTCTCAGACAGAAGGGTGGACCATTGTCAGGAAATTATCATATTGATCTTAGGTTTGTAATCACCATCTTCGCAAGTTTCGCCCGTCTGGCCAACATTTCAATGGCCTCTAATGTAAATTCTAGCTGAGACCTCCCCCCTTTTGTCTTTGTCCTGTATAAAGTGCTTGTTTTTCTGGAACGGGGTCAGATCTTTGAGCTACATCAGTGGTGCAGGTTATCTGACCTTTCAGCTGGAAATAGATTGATTCTGTTAACCTGTTAAGCCCAGAGCCTGTTTTTCAGGTCTCAGGCTCGAAAACAAATGACTATAACTTTACTTCTAAAAAGGGTAAATTAATAATCTTTGTTCTCAAAGTAATGATAAACCTGTGAGTTGGATGTAGAAAAGTCAGAATCAATATAGATGTTTTTTATTTTAAAGTAAATTCAGATTGAACATAGTAAAAAACTGTAAATTATAGTGTCCGTCCAAAAATTCTTTTTTACTTATAGTGAAAACTACCCTTGGATGATGGGTTAGTAGACTAAAAGCTTTAGGAATCCAAAGTACAACATATAATAAGTACCCTGGATCAAGATTGATGCAAAACAAGTGACCTTTGACCTTTTTAGAGAGATTTAGCAAAAGAAAAACACTTCTGAGGTGATTTGGGTGGAAATGGGCGTTTTTGCCGTTTCTCTGGAACCCATTGGTCGATTTTGGTGATTGACATCTCTTTTTAACCGTTAGAGCCAATAGAATCGAAGGGGGGTTTCAACATACACACACAGGTTAACAAAAAAAAGTGGGGGCTTTGCGCATGCAGTTGGCCGTAAACCGAAACCTATCTCACGCTCTGAAATCTGAAAATGGAAAAGCAGTTTTATTGCTTATGGATTATCAGAAATCATTTCAAAGTGACACAGACACATTGGATTAACCTATGGATCAACTTCAGCAGCGTTTTTATCGTTTTGATGCCATTGAAGACCACTTTTGATCAGACAACGACGAAGGTAAGCCGTATTGCCGTGTTTGCTACCTAGCGCCACATGTTGTGATGTCTGTTTTTGCTTATAATGTCGCGAGTTCTTATCATGGAGTGATGATATGGATACCTATCGATTCTGTGTATTCTCACAATTCTGTGTATTCTCACGATGCTATTCGATATGTTGGATGTGCAGTTACGATAAGTAATAAGGGTGTTATGAGTGAGTTTCTGTGCACACGCCGTTAGCATTTTTTCGCTCGTGGCTAATTGAGAGGGTCAGCGTTAGCTTTGTGGGTTTTTTTGCAAAAAAATTCAAAATGATCAGTTAGCTCAGACACTGTTTCCTACAGATTATGCGTTTTTCCGCCCGGGGACGGGTCGATGGGGTTCAACAGGTTAAGTGTGGAATTTCCACCACAAACATCTTAGAACTCAATCCAACTCAATTAAATGAAAACAGTCAGAATCACTAAGAACAGAAGCAGGCCCAGATTCAAACCCTGAGGGGCGCCGTGTTTTTGTTTTTGTCAAGGAACCACATTTAGTTGATTAATTAGTTTGGATCCTGGCTTTGACTCGTGGTGTGACAGTAACGTCCTCACCTGTCCCAGATGTGAGTGTTTTCCCAGCAGGGAGTTCCACAGGTGTGTTTGTGTGTCGAAGGTCCGGTAGCTTCCATTAAACACCGCCTGGACGTCCTGCAGCTTAAAGACGCAAACCGCTGACTCTGCCCCCGAAGACCTGAAGCAGACGGGAGGGAAAACTGAGAGGCTTTATCTCAGACATAACGACGATACGATAATACTTTAATGGTCAGATCAAGTCTGAAATGTGACTTGCATCACAGCAGCTCCATGTGTAACATCAACAGACAACTATCCAGACACATGAGAAACAAGCAACAAACGTTGAACAGAGAAAAGCTGCTTCTTTCTATTGAGATGTTTACATTTTGGATTGTTTATTTCCAGTCTTTTAATTTCTCTAATTGTTCAATGCCTGGTCTTTTTATGCTTCTGCAACGCAAACATTTCCCAAATTGGGATCAAGAAAGTACTTCTTATCTTATCTTATCTTATCTTATCTTATGTACCTTCCGCTGACATTGTGAGGTTCGGCCTTTAAAAGTTAGTGAATGAATAAGCAGAGAGAGAATAAGGAAGCAAAATCGAACATATCTACTTCCTCCCAAAAGCAGAAGAGGTGATCGTGACTGCCTGATCTGCACTGCGCTGCGAGAGTTGGTCCTCCTGTTGGACCGCTACGTACAGCAAGAGGGACATTTACGTACTGATCTAATAACACAGTTTCGTCTTGAATCAACTTTCTTTTATGAAAAGTCATTTCCCTTTTCCAGGAATCTCAACAGAAAAAGTTTGGCCAGACTAATACATTTCTAATGCTAAATAAATGAAAACCATTCACAGTTCAGAATTAGATATTAATGATTAATGCCATAAATGATTGCATACATTTAGTTTCTTATTTCTCCAGTGTGATAGCTAACAGAAGTTAAATCCACTTCTCTTATTATAAGAATGTACTTAACCCACTAAAAGGATTTATTCTCAAATAATAAGGAAATTAAGTTGTAAAAACAATAACTTTATCTCTCTCTCTCGTTCAGATCAATGTGGTCGGGGTTTTTCTCTTCTTTGTGAAACGCCGCTGTGTGAGATGCCCTGCAGTACGTAGCCGTCCAATAAGGAGGACCAACTCGAGCTTGCGCAGTAAAAATCGGGCAGAAACAGTGATCCACCGCTGGCTCCCTACCACTGCGAGGTGAAGACGCCGTAGAACAGCGTCTCTGAGGAGCTGTCGCCCTCCGGTGGTGGGAGGGTGAAGACGTGCTGCAGGACGTTGAAGGGAAGCTGTCTGGGAACCTGGCAGAGCAGCGGCGCTTTAGCGAAGGACGTCCACTTATTCTGGAGAGTCCGCTGCCCCCCCACATCGTCCTGTGGAGACAACGCAGCAACGTGTTATACATTCAGATATCTGAACCCAGAAGAACCCGGACCCATTTATACCTTTGGGGAAATTATGTGGAACATAATTTAGACTTAATAATAGACCACATCGAACACATTTCAGACAAGTAAACCCCCCCCCTACTGTTAGAGATCTGAAAAGTTACATATATGTCACATTGGGCGTTAATGGTAAAGTAATGCTTATTAATAACTTAATTAATGAGGATTGTTTTTTGGTTTAAATTTGTTTTAACATTCTTTGAATTGAAGAATATAGAATACGCAGCAACATGTTACACATTTATCTTTAAGTGGTGTCACTCGATTAAAAAACATCCCTGTAGCTTTTTTCCGAATACATTTTCTTTTCTTTCTCAAAATTCTTTTTTTTCCTTCAAAATCCTGACTTTTTTCAGAATTCCGAAAATGTTCTCAACATTCTGAGTTTTTCTTTTTCCTCGAAATTCTGACATTATTCCAAATTCTGACTTTTTTCAGAATCCCGATTATTTTTTTTCTCATAATTTCCGGGGTTTTTTTCTAAAAATTCTGACATTTTTCAAAATCCCGAATCCCGGGACTCAATAATAAAAAGACACGATAGACAAGAAAATATGCAAATAAAACGATTTAAAATACAACACAATACCATAAAATGTAAGACAGTCTTGCACTAATGTACATTCTCAAGATATTGAAGGGACTGTTATTTTGTATATATTGATTGTTGTGTTTTTATTTATGTCTTAATATGTGTATACTTTACGAATAAAGGTATTCTGATTCTGATTCTGAATAATAACAATAATAATAACAATTATTATAATAATAATAATAAATAATAATAATGTCAATTATAATAATAATAATGATAATAATAATGATAATAATAATAATAATGATAATAATAATGATAATAATAATAATAAATATAATAATATAATAATGATAAATATAATAATAATGATATATTAATCATAACAATAAATACAATAATCATAAATATAATAATGACAATTATAATAATAATACATAATAGTAATAAATATAATAATAATAATAATAATAAATACAATAATAATAATAATAATAAGAACAAATTATAATTATTATAACAAAATTATAATAAAACTAATAATAGTAAGTTAAATAAATATACAAATAAATGTAAACTATAATAATAACAAAATAGCAATAATAATATTTGTAATGTTGAAACAATAAATAAATAAATACATTAGTAAATAATTATAATAACAATAATAAATGAATACATTCAAAGTTTGATTTGTTGAGGTTTTTGTGTTTGTTTAAAAGGTTTCAGACAGCTCAACTTCCTGTTTCCTATCAACGATAATTCACTTCCTCTTTTAGCAAAACAAAAAATATAATGTCTGGAAGAACTTCTCACTTCTGTGTTTCTTTTGAACTTTTGATCCTGTTTCTACAAACTCTGCATATTTTAAATGTCAAGCTGAACAAAAATCCGGCCATCCCATAAACTGAAGGTGTCATTTGTAAAAAAAGAAGAAAGTCTGAATTTATTCTAATAAAAAAATCGGAATAGACGAGAGTAACACCTACGACACTTCCGGACGAAAATGACGGCCCCACCCACTTTTGGGGGAAAACAACGCTTTGAATGGCGGTCAATACCAATTCTGAAGTTTTTGCCAATCCAATCAGACATTTTTGAAAACCGTGGATTTTTGGATCTTCAAAGAGCCCGATTACGATGGCCATTCAGGCAAACTATTACATTAAATCATTGGAAATCGACGATCGGGCTCGATATATGGTTAAATTAAAATCAGTAGGCGAGGCCGTAATTTCGCCAGTGGAAAATAATAGTCTTATCATGCCAAAAAGCTGCTGTGTCGTTTATTGCTCCTCAAACATTAAAACAAATCCAGAGTTCAGTGTTTCTGTACTTCCTCTAAGAAAAAAGGACAGTTTAGAGCTCTGTGGCTTCAGGCTTGACAGCGTTGGTTTCCCCAAAAGTGGGCGGGGCATTAAAGTGACGTAGATGTGACTGTCATCTATGGACATCGATCGCTTACTGCTATATTTAAGGTGTTTTTATGTAAAGGAACCCTTAACTGAGACTGTAAGAGACACCTGAACTGAAGGTATTTTTATTTAAGGGAACCCTTAACTAAGACTTTAAGAGACACCTGAACTTAAGGTGTTTTTATTTAAAGGAACCCTTAACTGAGACTGTAAGAGACACCTGAACTGAAGGTGTTTTTATTTAAGGGAACCCTTAACTAAGACTTTAAGAGACACCTGAACTTAAGGTGTTTTTATCTAAAGGAACCCTTAACTGAGACTTTAAGAGACACCTGAACTTAAGGTGTTTTTATGTAAAGGAACCCTTAACTGAGACTGTAAGAGACACCTGAACTGAAGGTGTTTTTATTTAAGGGAACCCTTAACTAAGACTTTAAGAGACACCTGAACTTAAGGTGTTTTTATGTAAAGGAACCCTTAACTGAGACTGTAACCCCTAGATTCCACCGGGTCCGTCTGCGTCGCGTTACGGCTGCGCCGCGGTTTTGGTCCGGCCTCCTCCGGCGTCATACCCTACCAGGCGCGTTTCAGAAGCATTTCAGAAGCGGAGAGTCTTGCCTGCCGGCTCGCAGTTTTTGTTGATTTGGGCATATTTCCTGGACAGGCTACTTTGTACAGACAAAGTTAATAATAACTGTAATATTCCAGTTATAAACGACATGAATCAAAGATGTGTTGCTGTATTTTAGTGGTAAAAAAAATGCATTCATCATCGTAATTATTCTATATATATAATTTACACAGTGCCTGTAAACCGGAGGAGAACGCTGGCATTTCTCCTCCTACTTGAAAGACTACGGAGGGATAGGGTCTGCAAAATTAGTTTGTGTGTGTGTATATATATAGGTCTATATAGCTCTGAACGTTCCACTTCCTGCCTGCCCGACCTTACGTTACGGCTGCGCCGCGACAAAAATAGGATTCGATCCTAATTTTAGAAAAGCCCTGCGCCGAGCCGCTTCTGGGACGCTTCTGGGACGCGTCTGAGCCGTAACGCGCCGCGTGTGGTGGAATAGCACCCATTGACTAGAGTGGCCGCGATCACCTTGAGCACCGCGGCGCAGCCGTAACGCGTCCGTAACGCGCCGCAGACGGACCCGGTGGAATCTAGGGGTAAGAGACACCTGAACTGAAGGTGTTTTTATTTAAGGGAACCCTTAACTAAGACTTTAAGACACACCTGAACTTAAGGTGTTTTTATCTAAAGGAACCCTTAACTGAGACTTTAAGAGACACCTGAACTTAAGGTGTTTTTATCTAAAGGAACCCTTAACTGAGACTTTAAGAGACACCTGAACGTAAGGTGTTTTTATGTAAAGGAACCCTTAACTGAGACTGTAAGAGACACCTGAACTGAAGGTGTTTTTATTTAAGGGAACCCTTAACTAAGACTTTAAGAGACACCTGAACTTAAGGTGTTTTTATCTAAAGGAACCCTTAACTGACACTTTAAGAGACACCTGAACTTAAGGTGTTTTTATCTAAAGGAACCCTTAACTGAGACTTTAAGAGACACCTGAACTTAAGGTGTTTTTATGTAAAGGAACCCTTAACTGAGACTGTAAGAGACACCTGAACTGAAGGTGTTTTTATTTAAGGGAACCCTTAACTAAGACTTTAAGAGACACCTGAACTTAAGGTGTTTTTATTTAAAGGAACTCTTAACTGAGACTTTAAGAGACACCTGAACGCACCATCAGCATGAGCAAATGTGGTGAAATGTAATCCTGAAGTTATGGGATGAATGTTGTATAAGATAAGAAAACAAACGACCTGGGTTATAGGTTAGGGACCAGAAAGACGTGTTATACCTTTTGCAGAAGTATTTGTTGTTAAAAATGTGAATATAGCACTTAATAAAGTTTGTAATCACCTCAGCGTCCTTCCCTTTATTCTGACACTCTGTGATTTCACTCTGAGACGGACGCCACTCCACCTGGAGACAGAAAGAGAAAACACTAAACATCCATCATCACCACAAAGCATCATGGGGGATATAGTAGACGGGGCTCACCTTTCTCTTCAGGCTGATGACATCACTCTGGCTGACGTCCAATGAGAACACCGCGTCTCGAGCCCCGACGAATAGCGTGGAGCCGTCGTCGCTTAGCAACAAGGTCGTGCTGTTCAGGAGGTCGGGGGGGCGGAAGAAGACCAGGGGGCGCTCTGCAGAGTCTGAACACACACACACGCACACACACACACACACACACACACACACACACACACACACACACAGTTTAACAGGCAGAGATGGCAAGAGTACACACATCCTTTACTCAAGTAGAAGTACAGATACTCGTGTTTGAAAATACTCTGGTAGAAGTAGAAGTACTGACTAAACTTCTTTACTCAAGTTAAAGTAAAGAAGTTTGGGCTTTGAAATGCACTTAAAGGTGACCTATCATGCAAAATGCACTTGTGTACGTCTTTTCTACATGAATATGTGTCCCCGGTGTTCCAGGGAACTCACCAAGTGTCAGAAAACACAACCCTCTCTATTTTCCTCCATACCCAAATCTCTAAAAAAGGGGCTGCAACGGATCTGATAAAAACTGATCCAGATTTGAACACTGTCCTGACGTCAGGACGGTGGCGCTACGGCTATTGGGTCAACTCCACCAATCAGGAGGAGACAGCCACGGCCATTGCCGTTCGAAAGCGCTGGAGACGCTGTAGTACATATGCCAGGCCAGTAGATGGTGCTGTTCTCACTGAATCTGCCCAGAGCTAGAAATGGTCAAATAGAGCGAAATGAGGCATGGCTAAAATGCATGATCTGTTTGGTATTTTGAAAAAAAAAAAGTATAAATATGCCTTATATAGGTATGGTCCTACAATATATTATTCAAATATAGCATGATAGGTCCACTTTAAGTAAAAAGTACCCATAACTAGCAGCTGTTTTAAAGAGTACCTGACATCCCTTTATATGAATAGAACAATAATGTCATTGTTAGCTAATGAATGTTTCCATGCTGAACAACGGCAACATGACAACGTTTTCATTGGTCCCTCTTCTTTAGAGAAGACCAGGAAATGATGGATACACGGATCGTGTTCAAATCAATAGGCACGCAATGACTCTAAATAATAATGATCACGCCACCAAACACACATTCAAACTAAAGGAACCAGCCTGTTTGGAAAATGTGAGAAGTAGAAAGTACAGGTATTTGGGTTCAACATGTAAGAAGTAGAAAGTACAGGTATTTGTGTTCAACATGTAAGAAGTAGAAAGTACAGGTATTTGGGTTCAACATGTAAGAAGTAGAAAGTACAGGTATTTGTGTTCAACATGTAAGAAGTAGAAAGTACAGGTATTTGTGTTCAACATGTGAGAAGTAGAAAGTACAGGTATTTGTGTTCAACATGTAAGAAGTAGAAAGTACAGGTATTTGTGTTCAACATGTAAGAAGTAGAAAGTACAGGTATTTGTGTTCAACATGTAAGAAGTAGAAAGTACAGGTATTTGTGTTCAAAATGTAAGAAGTAGAAAGTACAGGTATTTGTGTTCAAAATACCATCTCAAAAACATTGCCAGACTCCGCCCCTCACTGTCTGACTCAGTGGCAGAAACACTCATACACGCCTTCATCACATCCCGTCTGGACTACTGCAATGGAGTCCTGTCCGGGGTTCCCAGCTAAACCCTGGCCAGGCTCCAATATGTCCAGAACTCTGCCGCCAGGCTTCTCACCCGCACTAAGCCATGGCAACACATCACCCCCACCCTCATCCACCTCCACTGGCTGCCGGTCAAGTCCCGGATTCACTACAAAACACTCCTCCTCACGTACAAGTCCCTCCATACCCTCGCCCCCCAGTACCTAACAGACCTCCTACATCCCTACACCCCCTCTCGGAGTCTGCGGTCCTCCGACACGGGCCTGCTCTCCATCCCCCGCTCTCGCCTTCGTACTGTGGGTGACAGGGCGTTCAGTGTTGCGGCCCCCACCCTCTGGAATGCACTTCCTGCATATCATCCATAGGAGACACAACATCCACATATCATCCATAGGAGACAACATCTACATATCATCCATAGGAGACACAACATCCACATATCATCCATAGGAGACACAACATCCACATATCATCCAGAGGAGACACAACATCTACATATCATCCATAGGAGACACAACATCCACATATCATCCATAGGAGACACAACATCCACATATCATCCATAGGAGACAACACAACATCCACATATCATCCATAGGAGACACAACATCTACATATCATCCATAGGAGACACAACATCTACATATCATCCATAGGAGACACAACATCTACATATCATCCATAGGAGACACAACATCCACATATCATCCATAGGAGACACAACATCTACATATCATCCATAGGAGACACAACATCTACATATCATCCATAGGAGACACAACATCTACATATCATCCATAGGAGACACAACATCTACATATCATCCAGAGGAGACACAACATCCACATATCATCCATAGGAGACACAACATCCACATATCATCCATAGGAGACAACATCTACATATCATCCATAGGAGACACAACATCCACATATCATCCATAGGAGACACAACATCCACATATCATCCATAGGAGACACAACATCCACATATCATCCATAGGAGACACAACATCTACATATCATCCATAGGAGACACAACATCCACATATCATCCAGAGGAGACACAACATCTACATATCATCCATAGGAGACACAACATCCACATATCATCCATAGGAGACACAACATCCACATATCATCCAGAGGAGACACAACATCTACATATCATCCATAGGAGACACAACATCTACATATCATCCAGAGGAGACACAACATCTACATATCATCCATAGGAGACACAACATCCACATATCATCCATAGGAGACACAACATCTACATATCATCCATAGGAGACACAACATCCACATATCATCCATAGGAGACACAACATCTACATATCATCCATAGGAGACACAACATCCACATATCATCCATAGGAGACACAACATCTACATATCATCCATAGGAGACACAACATCCACATATCATCCATAGGAGACACAACATCCACATATCATCCATAGGAGACACAACATCCACATATCATCCATAGGAGACACAACATCCACATATCATCCATAGGAGATGACACAACATTAACCCAGTAAGGTGTTAGCATTTTTCGCTCGTTGCTAATTCAGAGGCTCAGTGTTAGCATTGTGGGTTTTCTTTTGAAAAAAAAAAAAAAAAAGATCAGTTAGATGAGTTTCTTCCCGTTACATGGATATAAAACATTCATAGTTTATTAAATGAACATGCCCTCAGACACTGTTTCCTGCAAGATGTTGCGGCAATGCCCCGGTACCGGGGCCTCTCGGGCTTAACAAGTTAAAGCAGGGGTGGGGAACCTTTTTCCTCTCAAGGGCCATTTCAATTTTTTCAACATCCTCCGAGGACCGTACAAATTATTTACCTCTGCTTAAAATTACTAAAATCACAGCCCATTCATTTGGCCTTTCTTTCATGCTGTGCAAAGAAAAAGCAACCTCTTAATCCAGATATCTCACCATGACTCGCGCATGCATGCACGTGCACGGTGTGGCAGGACCACCACAACAGAAAGATATGGACACAAGATGTGTGCAATTTAGTTTACTATCCATGTGAATATGATTTAAGTGGGGGGGGGGACCTAACCTTGAAGTTAAAAGCATCAATCTGGTGCACTTTGAGAGCAAAATTAAGAGATCTATGGATACATCTCTCAACACCCATATGAAACAGAACTGGAAGCAGATTTTCTTTTTCTTTATGGATATTTCACAAATCACTCTCCTTTCAAACTGTATTCTTGTTTATTAATAACAACTTTTTTTTACTGTCATATAGTATGTTATACCTGTTTACTTTATTCTCTTATTGTTGTATAACTATAATGATCATATAAAGATGTGCCTTTACCTCACTGGTTGGAGAAAAAGCTTCTTATATTCGTTAGCATAGCTAGCTAACCAGATGCTAATAACAACAAAGTTATTGACTGCCGTGAAGGCAGCATACAGACAGCATCATTTCCACAGAATGATTTTCCTTAAAGAGACAGTCACCTCCTGACCTGAGAACGAGTCTGGAATTATAACAACACAAATATTCTACAGAGTGTTTTTAATTATATAATCACAGATATAAAAACACCTTTCTACTTCAAAGATCCTCAAACCTGCATTTTTTTTTAATAATGTGATGGTGAAATAAACGTTTTTAAGTGTACAAGAAAGAGAGGAGATAAAAACACGTCAACGTTTAAAAACTGCAGATGTTTCAGATATCAGTAAAACACACACAGCTAGAATAACACAAGTGGCGGGACAAAGAGAAATAATGAAAACAAAACAGTGATTTTTTACATTTTTAATTTGAGATGCGAGGAGGAAGTGGTTTTAAAGACAATTAATTGAAACTATAATAAGATCTTCTTATTAAATTATAAAAAAATATAAACATTTTCATGTCTTTCTTCCATTCACAGCAGGGTTCATTCTGTTTAAATCTACACTCATATATTCACTGTGTTCAGAACATTAAAACACGAGAGACAGGATTTAATATTCAGCTCGACCCCTGATCCAATACACAGAACATCAACAGGTATATTAACACAAAACATCCACAATAAAGACAGTGGAGGGATTCAAGATGCATTTAAACATCAGTATTAACACCAAATATATGACGTCTCTTCACCTAAAGATGTCTTCTTTCCAGATATTCCTCTATTTATCTCAATCATCCAGCCCCTTCACTTTCCCCTTTATTCATGCATTTAACTTAAGAAAATGAAACCTAGAAAATCTAAAGTGGACCTATTATGCTATATTTGAAACATATATTGTCGGGCCAGACCTATACAAAACATGTCTGTGAAGTTTTTTGCTTAAAATACCAAACAGATCCCCCGTTGTAGCCATGCCTCATACTGCTCAAACCACTCCTTTGAAGCCCTGTTAGAGAAACACGGATTCTGGGTCCTTAGCTTTAAAAAAAAAAAGAGGAGGCGGAGCTAATGCCTGATCAGAATTCTACCGGAGATAAAGTTACATTTTGCTGTGATAAAATGCCATTCTGTTCTAAACCACATCAAGGATTATTTCTGAAACAGTATGGAGCTCAAATGCTTTCTCTCTCTCAGGTTTATCACAAGGTGAGTTCCTTTTTTTATTTCCTGCTTTTCCTGTGCTCTCCACAGTACAGGTTAGCTCTGAGTGTTAGCGAGGCTTGCTAATGTAAACACAGACGAGTTTACGTCCAAAACACGTCAGGCATTGTTTCTGACAGCAACTTTCTGTAGGTCCACCATCCGAAATTACGTCATATCGTCAGCAAATCTGTATCAGCTCGTTGTACCCCCGTTTTTAAAAGATGTGGGTACGGAGGAAAAGAGAAAGGGTTTTATTTGTTGGCGCTGCGTGAGTTCCCCGACGCACCGGGGACACATGGTTATGTATAAAAGACATCAACAAGTGCATTTTGCATGATAGGTCCCCTTTAAGGTAAATATCCAGTTTTTGTTCATATTGCAATGTACATTTTTTTGCACGATATTTAAAGATCAGATTGATGTTAAAACTACGGTATTTCAAAGATATATTATATTACATGACATGTCACTTGTTAGACGCTTTTATCCAAAGCGACTTACATACTCAATACTGTGGGCAATCCCCACAGGAGCACTTTGGGGTGAAGTGTCTCAGGGACACAACGACATGCTGACTGCAGTGGGGTTTGAACCTGTGCTCCCCTGATCCCAACACCAACGCTCTAGTTCACTGCGCCACAGCCGCCCAATCCAGCGATTTTAAATGATGGGTTATATACAGTGTTATTGAAATATTGATTTTATAAATATTTAAATATCGGTATGACAGGGAGATATATTTGATCTGTATCACATGGAAATGCAAGTGTTGGTATATTTGAATAATAATATAATTACTCAGCGATATTTGTGGATAAAGAAATATTAGTAATATAGAATAATAAAAAGGGAGGGATATTGACTTTGTATCCACAGCACCACTCTGTGCAATATAAATACCATCATTACACACTCTCTGCTATATAAGGAGGCGTGTGGTGCAGTGGGTTGAGCGTTGGTGTTCCAGGTGGTCACAGGTTCAAACCCCACTGCAGTCAGCATGTCGTTGTGTCCCTGAGACACTTCACCCCAAATTGCTCATGTGGGGATTGCCCACAGTATTGAGTATGTAACAAGTAACATGTAATGTAATGTAATGTAATATAACATATATGATTATTATTAATAATGTTCTATAATCACGTGCAATTATGCATCGTTTTGCTCTACTAATTATTAGCGAAATAAATACGATCATTTTTGAGTTAATAAAATAACTTCAATTAATATTGGGAGTGGAGTCGTTAGTTTGTTTAGTATCTGGGCGTGTAATAAGCGGGATCTTGATCAGCCTGAATAATAATAATATAACTTTAGTTTATATAGCGCCTTTCAGGGGACCCAAGGTCGCTTCAGAACAACAGGAGTAGAACAACAAACAGTCAGACAAACAAAACAACAAATAAACTTGAGGGCCCTTTTCAAAAGGTGTTCTTTTCCCCATAATGACCGCCTCGCTGCACATTAGCCCTTCTCTTAAAGGTCTCCGATCGTGCTATTTTTAGGCTTATATTGTGCGTCTCAGATATGTAAAAAAATAGATCTTGCATTTTAGAAATTCCTCATCCCCCTCTGCTTCTTCACACATGCTCTCTCCAGTACAGGTTAGCTCTGAGTGTTAGCATGCTAATGTAAACACAGACCATATTACTTCCAGAACACGTCTCATTGTTTCTGATGGCAACGTTTCTGATTGGCCCGTGGGTGTAAAGCCCGCCCACATTTTAGTAATCTGGATCAGCTCCGTTGTTCCCCCGTTTTTAGAGATGTGGGTATGGAGGAAAAGAGAGAGGGGTATATTTCCTGACCCTTTGTGAGTCTGCTGACACACCGGGGACACACCGGGGACACACCGGGGACACACCGGGGACACATATTTATATAGAAAATACATCAGAAACTGCATTTAGCATGGTAGGAGACCTTTAATGAGCACAGAGCTGTTACTGCCCCCCGCTCGGCTCGTCCCCCGTCCGGCCCAGCGAGGCGACTCTCTCCATGGCTGCATTGCTGGCCCCGCCCTCCTCGGGGCTCAGCAGCCGGCTGATTTTGATCCGAGCGTCTCGGCGCCACAGCAGGAGGCCTCCGAGGATCATCAGACCCACGCAGAGCGCCAGCAGCAGGGAGACCACCAGCAGGGCGGGGCGGGGGGCCGCCTCCTCGTCATCACTCCTGGACTGAAGGTCCTCCCTCAAGGCCGGAGAGAAGAACACCTCCAGGGTCTCGTCTTTAGAATCGCTGACGTGTTCGGCCTTCCTGCAGGAGAATCACAATCAGAATTCCTGCATTCACAGCAGACCAGATCCTGTTTTCAGACCTCGTGTTTACATGATGAGATAAGATAAGGAAAGGTAGTAAGGTAAGGAAAGGTAGTAAGGTAAGGTAAGGTAGTTTTTTTTGTACTTTTTTTTGTACTTTTTTTAAAAGTACAATGGGAGCCAGAGCCTTTTCTTATCAAGCTCCACTTTTGTGGAATCAGCTTCCAGTTTGTGTTCGGGCGGCAGACAGCCTATCCGTTTTTAAGAGTGCGCTTAAGACCTTCCTTTTTTATAAAGCTTATAGTTAGGGCTGATTAGATTCAGCCCCTAGTTTAGCTGCTATAGGCTTAGACTGTCGGGGGACACCTTACTTCTTCCTTCTCTCTGTCTGTACCTGTGTACTCTCATGTTCCGAATAACACAGCTTCCCCAAATCTCTTTTTGGTGTCTATCTACGCCGGGATCCTGAGTCGTGGCTGAACCTGAGTCCTGAGTCCTGGATCCTGAGTCCCGAGTCCTGGACTCTGAGTCGTGGCTGAACCTGAGTCCTGAGTCCTGAGTCCTGATCTGAGTCCTGGACTTGGAGTCGTGGCTGAACCTGTCTCTGTGGTCCTGCCTGACTCTCATCATGCTACTTCCCTGATGGCTCCCACAGGATTGTTGACATCCTCGTGGATTCATCTTCTTATTACAGACACAAGCATTTCCAAACATGTGGTCTACCTACGCTGTGAAATGTATTATCTCTTTGATTGACACACGGCATCTATTGCACATGTGTCCGTCCTGGGAGAGGGATCCTCCTCTGTTGCTCTCCCTGAGGTTTCTCCCATGTTCCTTTAAACTGTGGGGTTTCTCTGGAAGTGTTTCCTTGTACGATGTGAGGGTCTAAGGACAGAGGGTCTAAGGACAGAGGGTCTAAGGACAGAGGACAGAGGCTCTAAGGACAGAGGGTCTAAGGACAGAGGGTCTAAGGACAGAGGGTCTAAGGACAGAGGACAGAGGCTCTAAGGACAGAGGGTCTAAGGACAGAGGGTCTAAGGACAGAGGGTCTAAGGACAGAGGGTCTAAGGACAGAGGGTCTAAGGACAGAGGGTCTAAGGACAGAGGGGGTCGTATTGTCACTGATATTCTGTACAAACTGTGAAGTCCACTGAGACAAATGTAACATTTGTGATATTGGGCTATATAAATAAACATTGATTGATTGATTGATTGATTGATTGATTGATTGATTGATTGATAGTAAGGTAAGCTAAGGTAAGGTAAGGTAAGGTAAGGTAAGATAAGATGAACCTTTATTAATCCCCGTCAGAGGAGGGAAGTATTGGAGTACAAATACTTAGTTACTGTACTTAAGTACATTTTTCTGGTATCAGTACTTTACTCCACTACTTATTTTTCTGACCACTTTTTACTTTCTACTTCTTACATTTTGAACACAAATACCTGTACTTTCTACTTCTTACATTTTGAACACAAATACCTGTACTTTCTACTTCTTACATGTTGAACACTAATACCTGTACTTTCTACTTCTTATATGTTGAACCCAAATACCTGTACTTTCTACTTCTTACATGTTGAACACTAATACCTGTACTTTCTACTTCTTACATGTTGAACCCAAATACCTGTACTTTCTACTTCTTACATGTTGAACACTAATACCTGTACTTTCTACTTCTTATATGTTGAACACAAATACCTGTACTTTCTACTTCTTACATGTTGAACACAAATACCTGTACTTTCTACTTCTTACATTTTGAACACAAATACCTGTACTTTCTACTTCTTACATGTTGAACACTAATACCTGTACTTTCTACTTCTTATATGTTGAACCCAAATACCTGTACTTTCTACTTCTTACATGTTGAACACTAATACCTGTACTTTCTACTTCTTACATGTTGAACCCAAATACCTGTACTTTCTACTTCTTACATGTTGAACACAAATACCTGTACTTTCTACTTCTTATATGTTGAACACAAATACCTGTACTTTCTACTTCTTACATGTTGAACACAAATACCTGTACTTTCTACTTCTCACATGTTGAACCCAAATACCTGTACTTTCTACTTCTTACATGTTGAACACAAATACCTGTACTTTCTACTTCTTACATGTTGAACCCAAATACCTGTACTTTCTACTTCTTACATGTTGAACACAAATACCTGTACTTTCTACTTCTTACATGTTGAACACAAATACCTGTACTTTCTACTTCTTACATGTTGAACACAAATACCTGTACTTTCTACTTCTTACATGTTGAACACAAATACCTGTACTTTCTACTTCTCACATGTTGAACCCAAATACCTGTACTTTCTACTTCTCACATGTTGAACCCAAATACCTGTACTTTCTACTTCTCACATGTTGAACTCAAATACCTGTACTTTCTACTTCTTACATGTTGAACCCAAATACCTGTACTTTCTACTTCTTACATGTTGAACACAAATACCTGTACTTTCTACTTCTCACATTTCCCAAACAGGCTGGTTCTTTTAGTTTGAATGTGTGTTTGGTGGCGTGATCATTATTATTTAGAGTCATTGCGTGCCTATTGATTTGAACACGATCCGTGTATCCATCATTTCCTGGTCTTCTCTAAAGAAGAGGGACCAATGAAAACGTTGTCATGTTGCCGTTGTTCAGCATGGAAACATTCATTAGCTAACAATGACATTATTGTTCTATTAATATAAAGGGAGGTCAGGTACTCTTTAAAACAGCTGCTAGTTATGGGTACTTTTTACTGAAGTACATTTCAAAGCCCTCTTTACTTTGACTTGAGTAAAGAAGTTTAGTCAGTACTTCTACTTTCACCAGAGTATTTTTAAACACGAGTATCTGTACTTCTACTTGAGTACAGGATGTGTGTACTTCTACTTGAGTAAAGGATGTGTGTACTTCTACTTAAGTAAAGGGTGTGTACTTCTACTTGAGTAAAGGATGTGTGTACTTCTACTTGAGTAAAGGATGTGTGTACTTCTACTTGAGTAAAGGATGTGTGTACTTCTACTTGAGTAAAGGAGGTGTGTACTTCTACCTGAGTAAAGGATGTGTGTACTTCTACATGAGTAAAGGATGTGTGTACTTCTACCTGAGTAAAGGATGTGTGTACTTCTACCTGAGTAAAGGATGTGTGTACTTCTACCTGAGTAAAGGATGTGTGTACTTGTACCCTCTCTGCTCCCTGTCGGGAAATTCATTATTTTAACAGCAACAGGTAAGAATGAAACACAACACAGATTCACACAGATTCATAGAATTAAAGATAAAATCGAAGATAAAAACACAATTATATACAGTTAAGTAACTTTAAAATAAGAAATGAATTAAAATGAACATAAATACATATTGGGTCATACATATATAAGTCAATGCAAAGACGCGCTAGATGCAAATTCGTACATAATATTCATAATGTTCACAAGTTTGCTTAAAACCTTCCTGTTGTTCCTGAATGATGTGTTGTATTCAGATCAGGGTGTCAGACTCAAGGCCTCAGTTAATGTGGCCCAGCAAGAGCTTGCAAAGAATATAATATACAATACAATTGGTGTAATTGTTGAATATTTGCTTTCAATTATTTGACTTTCAGACGTAGTTATTCATGAAGTTATTACCCTATCCGATAATAATCCAATGCAGAGGCATTAATGTTATATAATACATTATTTGATATATATTATATATTTATATAGTCTTAAAGTTACAACCGGCCCTTTGAGTGAAACTATAATGCTGAGGAACCCCTGGTTTAGATGAACAGCCTCTGGTGTAATAAAGTGCTGCCTGTAAACATTGGAAAGGTTTAAAACAGAGCCCTGACTACGTGTCGACATTAACCAGTCTGAGATCATCCATCACATTTATCTATCATAGAATCTGTTTTAGGTGTAAACGAGGTTTTTTGACAATAAATAATACAAAAAAAGATAAATAATGAGTTGGAGTTAAACTAAAAGGTTAACCAAGATCTGGGTTTTCATTTAAACGATATGTTGTATAAACAGCATCATGACTCATTAATGAGCTGTCTGATGGCAGCACCGGATGCATTAGATATGTTTAGTTTCATGTATGCTTGCCTGTGTGTGTGCTAGATCCTAATGAAGAACATCAGTCTGTATTGTGGGGGGGTTTACCAGGGGGTGTGAGGCTCTTCAGGATTCAGTGTGAACGGGTCCTCGGGGAAGATGTCCTCCAACGGCTCGTCTTCCTCGTTCTTCGTCACCTGGTCTTCCTCGTTCTTCGTCACCTGGTCTTCCTCGTTCTTCGTCACCTGGTCTTCCTCGTTCTTCTGGACGGGGCTGAAAGCTCGCGGAGACAAAACCCGCCCGACGTTAAAGCTGGCGACGACCTCGCTGACCCTGTGGGACGTTTACAAAGAATGAAGAGGATGCAAGTGGTTCATCGTATAGCTGCTCCTTATTTAAAGGTCTCCTATTATACTTTTTTTAAGCGTATATTATGGGTCTCAGATATATAAAAAACATGTCTATGAAGTGTTTTGCTCAAAATACCAAATAGGTCATTCTAGCCTCATCTCCCTCTATTTCAGCTGTTACTAAAGTAATGATTCTGAGTCTGTAGCTTTAAAAACGGTTAGGGTTAACCCTAAAAAAGAGAGTAGGTCTCATCAGGAGAATTCTCCCAGCAGAAACTCAGCTAAATGCTGTCGTAATTAATATCATGTTTCTGAAACAGCTCAAACTCTTTTTCTCTCTCAGGTTTACCACAAGGTGAGAAAAGGTGCATTTTGCATTATAGGAGACCTTTAAATAGGTCTGCTTCTCTTCTATATATCACAGGGGCGTAACTCACCCGGCCTCCCTCGCCTCGCAGCGATACTTCCCGAAGGTGTGGGCGGTGGCGATGAAGCTCAACGCGCCGTCAGCTGATCGCAGGAAGTGACTCTGCGGGAGGTTTGTGAAGCAAGAGGACGTCCAGGTCAGAGAGGACGGCTGAGACGGCTTCACACAGGGAAGAATCACCACCTCGTTCACAGCAGCAAAGACCTCTGAAGTGGAGAAAGAACATCAGAATAAACTAAAAGGGAGAGCTAGCTTTAGCCGGGATGCTAGCGAAAAGCGCTGCCCAAAAGTGAGCTAAAGGGAAGAGTCCTAATCCATTCACTTCCTGTCACCTGGTCTGGAGCTCAATGGTTTCCCCAATGTGTTTCTGGTTGTTATCCTGAAATCAGGTCTGTGGTTAACACAACCTGGAGAGATTTTAACGCTTTGTTCTACCACATAAAATATGTCAGTAAATCACCCGTGTCCCTGGGTCACGTTAGCTGTTAGCTGTTAAGTGTTAGCTGTTAGCTGTTAGCGCACTCAAGCTGGTTTCTCCATTCTTACCTACCCTACCTTTAAATGTTAGCTGTTAGCTGTTAAATGTTAGCTGTTAGCTGTTAAGTGTTAGCTGTTAAGTGTTATAATAATAATATTGGGAGGGATGAAAACCTCTTTAACGGTCACACATGCAGAGCACACAGCACACACAGTGACATTTGTTCTCTGCTTTTAACCCATCCTAGTGCCAGGAGTCTAGTACCAGGAGCAGTGGGCAGCTATTGCACAGCGCTTGGGGAGCAATGGGGGTAGGGGGTTGTCCGGTGCCTTGCTCAAGGGCACCACGGCAGGGCAGGAGGTGAACTGGGACCTCTCCAAGTAGCAGTCCACACTCCATTTTTAGGTCTGTTCGGGGACTTGAACCAGCGACCCTACGGCTAGCTGCTAGCTGTTATCTGTTAGCTGTTAAGTGTCGACTGTTAGCTGATAAATAATAATAATACATTGGATTTGTATAGCGCTTTTCCTAATGCGCAAAGACGCTTTACATAAAATCAGAACAGAAACAGTAGCCTACAAAGAAAACAAAAAACATAAACAGCAGTCCTTATCCAAAGGTGGGGTAGGTAATTTTGGAGAAACCGGCTCGAGATCGCTAGAATTTGAAAATACACAACCGGAGAAAATCTGCCACTTCCTTACAGAGCCCCTCCTCCAACACACACGAACGTGCACATGACCAATGAGGGCACGAGATAAGTTTGTGCACAGATGGAAGGCTGACAGGCAGGTAGGCCATCCAGTTATTTTAGCCGGGCCGGCTCAGATGATTGGTCGTGCTTTTTACAGTACTACAGCTTCCACAGATGATATTTTTTAATGGATTTGTTGTCAAAGCACTTCAGATATTCATTGCTATCGGGATGTTAAGAGCATTCCATGGAATATAACAACAAGTGTATCTCTAGCCGGTTTCTCAAACTTACCTACCCCACCTTTATCTAAGTGGTAGCTGTTATCTGTTAGCTGTGAGATGCTAGCTGTTAGCTGCTAAAAGTTACCTGTGTCCCGGATGGCCTTAGTTTCTCCTTGACATTGTACTTTCACGTTTCCGTCCTCCAGGTCCTGAGCCCTGAGGGGGAAACAGCCTGTCAGTCACTACCCAGGAACACATTACACATTACACAACACTACACTACACTACACAACATTACACAACATTACACAACATTACACAACATTACACAACATTACACCACAGCGCTCGTCAGTTTATTTCATTACTTTCTCCTGTAAATAATTAGAAGACAGTAATTTAGAAAACAGTTGAGAAGATTTCACCAGTTACAGTGAAATAGAGGGGGAAGAGGCTAGAATGATCTGTTTGGTATTTTGAGCAAAACACTTCATAGACATGTTCATGAGACCTATAATATATGCCTAAAAATAGTAAAATAGGAGACCTTTAAGGTAACTTTCACCGCTCTGCTCTCCAGCGTGACAGTTAAATAGCAAAACAAACAACTCTAATAGTGATAAAGGTAAGGTACATGTGTGGATGGTTGGCGTCCGGCGCTGTGCAGACGCTTCCGGTCCGGCTCCAGCCACACTGAGGGTCTCGGGCCAGAACACATTGACTGCAGCTGCTGTGGACAGAGCAGCGAGACACCGGGACCCCCGTCACCCCCTCAGACGTCCCCACATACAGCATCCCCTGCAACAGATACTCACTTTCAGAGATGGCAAGAGTAGACACATCCTTTACTCAAGTAGAAGTACAGAGACTCGTGTTTAAAAATACTCTAGTAAAAGTAGAAGTACTGACTAAACTTCTTTACTCAAGTCAAAGTAAAGAGGGCTTTGAAATGTACTTCAGTAAAAAGTACCCATAACTAGCAGCTGTTTTAAAGAGTACCTGACCTCCCTTTATATTAATAGAACAATAATGTCATTGTTAGCTAATGAATGTTTCCATGCTGAACCACGGCAACATGACAACGTTTTCATTGGTCCCTCTTCTTTAGAGAAGACCAGGAAATGATGGATACACGGATCGTGTTCAAATCAATAGGCACGCAATGACTCTAAATAATAATGATCACGCCACCAAACACACATTCAAACTAAAGGAACCAGCCTGTTTGGGAAATGTAAGAAGTAGAAAGTACAGGTATTTGTGTTCAACATGTAAGAAGTAGAAAGTACAGGTATTTGGGTTCAACATGTAAGAAGTAGAAAGTACAGGTATTTGGGTTCAACATGTAAGAAGTAGAAAGTACAGGTATTTGGGTTCAACATGTAAGAAGTAGAAAGTACAGGTATTTGGGTTCAACATGTAAGAAGTAGAAAGTACAGGTATTTGGGTTCAACATGTAAGAAGTAGAAAGTACAGGTATTTGTGTTCAACATGTAAGAAGTAGAAAGTACAGGTATTTGTGTTCAACATGTAAGAAGTAGAAAGTACAGGTATTTGTGTTCAACATGTAAGAAGTAGAAAGTACAGGTATTTGGGTTCAACATGTAAGAAGTAGAAAGTACAGGTATTTGTGTTCAACATGTAAGAAGTAGAAAGTACAGGTATTTGGGTTCAACATGTAAGAAGTAGAAAGTACAGGTATTTGTGTTCAAAATGTAAGAAGTAGAAAGTACAGGTATTTGGGTTCAACATGTAAGAAGTAGAAAGTACAGGTATTTGTATTCAACATGTAAGAAGTAGAAAGTACAGGTATTTGTGTTCAAAATGTAAGAAGTAGAAAGTACAGGTATTTGTGTTCAACATGTAAGAAGTAGAAAGTACAGGTATTTGGGTTCAACATGTAAGAAGTAGAAAGTACAGGTATTTGGGTTCAACATGTAAGAAGTAGAAAGTACAGGTATTTGGGTTCAAAATGTAAGAAGTAGAAAGTACAGGTATTTGGGTTCAACATGTAAGAAGTAGAAAGTACAGGTATTTGGGTTCAACATGTGAGAAGTAGAAAGTACAGGTATTTGTGTTCAAAATGTAAGAAGTAGAAAGTACAGGTATTTGGGTTCAACATGTAAGAAGTAGAAAGTACAGGTATTTGGGTTCAACATGTATCCATATCCAGGTGGATCCGAGCCTGGCAGCAAACTTACTTAGACTCAATAGCTTCTGTTAGGTCAATTAGTAGGTCTGAGTAATTGCCGGAATAAATTAACAGGCCTCCCGACTCCAACAATATCATAAACGTTTGTTTGACACAGAGATTATTTTCTGACATAATCCAAAATCCCATGGAGAAATCCCATTGGACCAGGAGATGCTGCCTTCAGGGACCAACACAGAAATACAACATCCCTGCACCTCTCTATACTGCCAAAGATGGCTTAATGCAACTCTAGACACATTAGAACATGGGTAAATACCATCATCATCATCGGACATATAGTAAACCATAAAAAAGGGCTTTAAAACCTAATTTCTGAAAATCAAGTTAATTTTGACTGTTTAGCTAAATATTTCCATCCCTCCAGATGAGTGTTGCGTACCTTTGAGGAGGAGAGGACGATGCTTTTGACGATCTGAGGCTGAGTGAAGACCTGAATCTCCTCAATCACCCGAGATCCTCCAGCCAGCAAAAGCACTTTGTGGAGGAACCCGGACTCTGCAGGATCAGAGAGGACGAACACGGTATTATCAAAATATTTAGATAGAATAGAACAACTGATCAGAATCAGGGACAGGTTTGTTGCCAAGTAGGTTTACACCAACGAGGAACTTGCCTTGGTGAGTATCCTGTCTTGTAAGCATATATTCCTGCTACTGACTGCAGTATTTTTGACTTTCTTTAGAACATTTTAATTATCCAGAAGTTCTATACTGTTTATATTTGATATTATATTTTTCATTTTATTTTTAGTTGTTAATTCTCTATTCCACTATTTTAAGTATTTTAATTGTAATGTCTGAACAGACTGATGATGCTTCTGTAACAAAATAATTTCCCAAATTGGGATAAATAAAGAATATATCTATCTATATTTATATATCTATCTATGGTGCGTAGATAAACACACTAAAAGACGCACAATTTGTTCCCCCGTTTTTAGAGATGTGGGTACGGAGGAAAAGAGAGAGGGTTTTATTTCCGGCACACCGGGGACACATATCCAGGGGTGGTTCTAAGGGGGGCCAACAAAGGCCAGTGCCCCTTAACGCTGACCAGGGACCCCACTCCAAAAAAAAAGGTTACAATATCACAATTTCTTGGAACTAAATCAAATCAGAGATCCGGATGTACAGTGGAGATTAAACTGTTCATTACCTTATAAAAGAAAATACTAATAATATTTATGTTTTTTAATTAAATTGTCACTTAAAGTTACTAAAACAAATACCAATTACTGTATTTCATGTTTATTTTGCATGATTACTTTATACTCTTTTAACCCGCTCTTATTGTGCCCCTCTCATGTAATAACCGCCCCCCCCCCCCAGTCAAATTGGTCTAGAACCGCCACTGCACATATTTATGTGTAAAAGACATTAAAAAGTGCATTTTGCATGATGGGAGACCTTTAAAGTAAGGCCTGGAGGAGTGTATGGAGGGCTGAGGGTCCCCCCAGCTGTTCACCTGTCAGCAGGAACAGGACGGTGTATTGTTTGCCGTTGAGGGCCTTCGTCCTCATCACTGCCACGCGACTGTACCGCTGATCTGAAGAAACGAGCGGAGCGTCGTCCGACTTCACGCTGCCGCTCGTCAGGAAACTCTTCTTCACTTGAGATAATTCAGAATCTGTAGCGCTGTCCAGCCCACACTGTCAGCAGGACATGGAGGGGGGGTCACACGTTAACATTATCGTAGAAATGTATCACAAGTTCAAATTCAAAGGTTTTATCATCATATGCACATAAGCTACAGTGTAGGAATGGCAATGAAACTCTTCTGACCTGAGCTCCTCCAACAATGCAACGTATATAATAAAATAAAATAAATTGAAAATCCAAATAAAAAAATTGTGCAAAAAGTCTATATACATGCAAATAGAATATGATATGTTCAAGAACAGAATATGAAATGAATTAATTAAGACTAAATTAAATACGGTTTATTGCGGTGACAACTATTTATATAAATAAGTAGATTGCAAGATGACTAACAGATTAATGTTTATTGAGGCACTTCACAGAGCTCAGGTGTTTAATAGTCTTATGGCCTGTGGGATGAAACTGTCCCTGAGTCTGGAGGTTTGTGTCCGGATGCAATTTCTGTGAGAAAATGTACGCCTAGCTACTAAATGTTCTCAGACAGAAGGGTGGACCATTGTCAGGAAATTATCATATTGATCTTAGGTTTGTAATCACCATCTTCGCAAGTTTCGCCCGTCTGGCCAACATTTCAATGGCCTCTAATGTAAATTCTAGCTGAGACCTCCCCCCTTTTGTCTTTGTCCTGTATAAAGTGCTTGTTTTTCTGTAACGGGGTCAGATCTTTGAGCTACATCAGTGGTGCAGGTTATCTGACCTTTCAGCTGGAAATAGATTGATTCTGTTAACCTGTTAAGCCCTGAGCCTGTTTTTCAGGTCTCAGGCTCGAAAACAAATGACTATAACTTTACTTCTAAATAGGGTAAATTAATAATCTTTTTTCTCAAAGTAATGATAAACCTGTGAGTTGGATGTAGAAAAGTCAGAATCAATATAGATTTTTTTTATTTTAATGTAAATTCAGATTGAACATAGTAAAAAAATTTAAATTATAGTGTCCGTCCAAAAATTATTTTTTACTTATAGTGAAAACTACCCTTGGATGATGGGATAGTAGACTAAAAGCTTTAGGAGTCCAAAGTACAACATATAATAAGTACCCTGGATCAAGATTGATGCAAAACAAGTGACCTTTGACCTTTTTAGAGAGATTTAGCAAAAGAAAAACACTTCTGGGGTCATTTGGGTGGAAATGGGCGTTTTTGCCGTTTCTCTGGAACCCATTGGTCGATTTTGATGATTGACATCTCTTTTTAACCGTTAGAGCCAATAGAATCGAAGGGGAATTTCAACATACACACACAGGTTAACAAAAAAAAGTGGGGGCTTTGCGCATGCAGTTGGCCGTAAACCGAAACCTATCTCACGCTCTGAAATCTGAAAATGGAAAAGCAGTTTTATTGCTTATGGATTATCAGAAATCATTTCAAAGTGACACAGACACATTGGATTAACCTATGGATCAACTTCAGCAGCGTTTTTATCGTTTTGATGCCATTGAAGACCACTTTTGATCAGACAACGACGAAGGTAAGCCGTATTGCCGTGTTTGCTACCTAGCGCCACATGTTGTGATGTCTGTTTTTGTTTATAATGTCGCGAGTTCTTATCATGGAGTGATGATATGGATACCTATCGATTCTGTGTATTCTCACAATTCTGTGTATTCTCACGATGCTATTCGATATGTTGGATGTGCAGTTACGATAAGTAATAAGGGTGTTATGAGTGAGTTTCTGTGCACACGCCGTTAGCATTTTTTCGCTCGTGGCTAATTGAGAGGGTCAGCGTTAGCTTTGTGGGTTTTTTTGCAAAAAAATTCAAAATGATCAGTTAGCTCAGACACTGTTTCCTACAGATTATGCGTTTTTCCGCCCGGGGACGGGTCGATGGGGTTCAACAGGTTAAGTGTGGAATTTCCACCACAAACATCTTAGAACTCAATCCAACTCAATTAAATGAAAACAGTCAGAATCACTAAGAACAGAAGCAGGCCCAGATTCAAACCCTGAGGGGCGCCGTGTTTTTGTTTTTGTCAAGGAACCACATTTAGTTGATTAATTAGTTTGGATCCTGGCTTTGACTCGTGGTGTGACAGTAACGTCCTCACCTGTCCCAGATGTGAGTGTTTTCCCAGCAGGGAGTTCCACAGGTGTGTTTGTGTGTCGAAGGTCCGGTAGCTTCCATTAAACACCGCCTGGACGTCCTGCAGCTTAAAGACGCAAACCGCTGACTCTGCCCCCGAAGACCTGAAGCAGACGGGAGGGAAAACTGAGAGGCTTTATCTCAGACATAACGACGATACGATAATACTTTAATGGTCAGATCAAGTCTGAAATGTGACTTGCATCACAGCAGCTCCATGTGTAACATCAACAGACAACTATCCAGACACATGAGAAACAAGCAACAAACGTTGAACAGAGAAAAGCTGCTTCTTTCTATTGAGATGTTTACATTTTGGATTGTTTATTTCCAGTCTTTTAATTTCTCTAATTGTTCAATGCCTGGTCTTTTTATGCTTCTGCAACGCAAACATTTCCCAAATTGGGATCAAGAAAGTACTTCTTATCTTATCTTATCTTATCTTATCTTATGTACCTTCCGCTGACATTGTGAGGTTCGGCCTTTAAAAGTTAGTGAATGAATAAGCAGAGAGAGAATAAGGAAGCGAAATCGAACATATCTACTTCCTCCCAAAAGCAGAAGAGGTGATCGTGACTGCCTGATCTGCACTGCGCTGCGAGAGTTGGTCCTCCTGTTGGACCGCTACGTACAGCAAGAGGGACATTTACGTACTGATCTAATAACACAGTTTCGTCTTGAATCAACTTTCTTTTATGAAAAGTCATTTCCCTTTTCCAGGAATCTCAACAGAAAAAGTTTGGCCAGACTAATACATTTCTAATGCTAAATAAATGAAAACCATTCACAGTTCAGAATTAGATATTAATGATTAATGCCATAAATGATTGCATACATTTAGTTTCTTATTTCTCCAGTGTGATAGCTAACAGAAGTTAAATCCACTTCTCTTATTATAAGAATGTACTTAACCCACTAAAAGGATTTATTCTCAAATAATAAGGAAATTAAGTTGTAAAAACAATGACTTTATCTCTCTCTCTCGTTCAGATCAATGTGGTCGGGGTTTTTCTCTTCTTTGTGAAACGCCGCTGTGTGAGATGCCCTGCAGTACGTAGCGGTCCAATAAGGAGGACCAACTCGAGCTTGCGCAGTAAAAATCGGGCAGAAACAGTGATCCACCGCTGGCTCCCTACCACTGCGAGGTGAAGACGCCGTAGAACAGCGTCTCTGAGGAGCTGTCGCCCTCCGGTGGTGGGAGGGTGAAGACGTGCTGCAGGACGTTGAAGGGAAGCTGTCTGGGAACCTGGCAGAGCAGCGGCGCTTTAGCGAAGGACGTCCACTTATTCTGGAGAGTCCGCTGCCCCCCCACATCGTCCTGTGGAGACAACGCAGCAACGTGTTATACATTCAGATATCTGAACCCAGAAGAACCCGGACCCATTTATACCTTTGGGGAAATTATGTGGAACATAATTTAGACTTAATAATAGACCACATCGAACACATTTCAGACAAGTAAACCCCCCCCCTACTGTTAGAGATCTGAAAAGTTACATATATGTCACATTGGGCGTTAATGGTAAAGTAATGCTTATTAATAACTTAATTAATGAGGATTGTTTTTTGGTTTAAATTTGTTTTAACATTCTTTGAATTGAAGAATATAGAATACGCAGCAACATGTTACACATTTATCTTTAAGTGGTGTCACTCGATTAAAAAACATCCCTGTAGCTTTTTTCAGAATACATTTTCTTTTCTTTCTCAAAATTCTTTTTTTTCCTTCAAAATCCTGACTTTTTTCAGAATTCCGAAAATGTTCTCAACATTCTGAGTTTTTCTTTTTCCTCGAAATTCTGACATTATTCCAAATTCTGACTTTTTTCAGAATCCCGATTATTTTTTTCTCATAATTTCCGGGGTTTTTTTCTAAAAATTCTGACATTTTTCAAAATCCCGAATCCCGGGACTCAATAATAAAAAGACACGATAGACAAGAAAATATGCAAATAAAACGATTTAAAATACAACACAATACCATAAAATGTAAGACAGTCTTGCACTAATGTACATTCTCAAGATATTGAAGGGACTGTTATTTTGTATATATTGATTGTTGTGTTTTTATTTATGTCTTAATGTGTGCATATATAAAAATGTGTCTTGATTGTGTATATATAGGATATACTTATTTGCACACATATTTTTATATATATTTGTTTTTATATTCGGGATTGTGGGAAACGGTATTTCGATCTCTGTACACACAAACTGAAAGATTGACAATAAAGTTGGCTTTGACTTTGACTCAGGAGGATGTGGCGTAATCTTAACCTGTTAAGCACCTAGCCTGTTTTTCATGTTTCAGGCTCGAAAATGACATGCCCAAAACAAATGACTACAACTTAACTTCTAAAAGGGTTATATGAATAATTTCTTACATAGTAAAAAACTGTAAATTATAGTGTCCGTCCAAAAATTATTTTTTTACAGATAGTGAAAACTACCCTTGGATGATGGGTTAGTAGACTAAAAGCTTTAGGAATCCAAAGTACAACATATAATAAGTACCCTGTATCAAGATTGATGCAAAACAAGTGACATTTGACCTTTTTAGAGAGATTAGCAAAAACCACCCCACCTCTGAGGTGATTTGGGTGAAAATGGTTTTTTTTCTATATCTCTGGCCCCCCTTGCTCGATTTTGATGGTTGACACCTCTTTCTGACCGTTAGAGCCAATAGAATCGAAGGGGGAGGCTCCCACACACAGACGTTGTGAAGAGAAAAGGTGGGGGCTGCGCGCATGTAAATGTGCAGCAGAGTGGAGCTACATTCTAGCTCTGGCATTTGGAAACTAAAAAGCAGTTTTATTGCTTATGGATTATCAGAAATCATTTCAAAGAGGACACAGACACATTGGATTAACCTATGGATTAACTGCAGCATCGTTTTTTTATCGTTTTAATGCCATTGAAGACCACTGTTGACCAAGGTAAGCCATGTTAGCGTTTCTAGCTACTTAGCTCCACATGTTATGATGTACGCTTTCGTTTATAGCGTCGCAAATGTTTATCACTGAGTGTTGAGGTGGGCACCATTAGATTCAGTGTCTCCAGGACACCAAAAACGAGTGGTTGGCTGTGCATCTAGGATAAGTAATAAGGGAGTTATTGTGAGTTTAAGTGCCGTTTTAGGTTAAATCTTTTCTCTCGTGGCTAATTCAGAGGCTGAGTGTTAGCATTGTGGGATTTTTTTGGAAATAAAAATTAAAAAGATCAGTTAGCCGAGTTTCTTCCCGTTACATGGATATAAAACATTCATAGTTGTATTAAATATTAAGATTCCTTAGACGTTGTTTCCTGCAAATGACGCGTTTATCCGCCCGGTACCGGGGGGGGCCGTGCGTAACAGGTTAAAGCAGCTCTATTATTGATATTTTCCGTCACCTTGCAGACTTGAGCGACGCGAGCGATCCGCAGCTCGTCCACGAAGCTGAACTCTTTCCCGCCTTCAGTGAAGAAGAATAACAGCTTCCTGTCCACCGCCGCCGAGCCCACGAACGCCGGCTCTGAAACAGGAAGTACAATTATTTATATTTTTTAAATATTTTACACATTTAATAAATCAACAAAACCTTTTTTTCAAAATAATTTTTTTTCTCCAAATTCTGACTTTTTTGAGATACAGTAACACATGCGTCACTTCCAGGCAAAAATTACGGCTCCGCCCACCAAAACAAAGCTGTCATTTGAATGGCGGTCAATACACATTCTGAAGTTTTTGCCAATCCGATCAGAAATTAAATTTTTGGATCTTCAAAGAGCCCGATTACGATGGCCAAACAGGCAAACTATTACATTAAATCATTGGAAATCGACGATCGGGCTCGATATATGGTTAAATATAGCAGTAAGCAATCGATGTCCATAGATGACAGTAACATCTACGTCACTTTAATGCCCCGCCCACTTTTGGGGAAACCAACGCTGTCAAGCCTGAAGCCACAGAGCTCTAAACTGTCCTTTTTTCTTAGAGGAAGTACAGAAACACTGAACTCTGGATTTGTTTTAATGTTTGAGGAGCAATAAACGACACAGCAGCTTTTTGGCATGATAAGACTATTATTTTCCACTGGCGAAATTACGGCCTCGCCTACTGATTTTAATTTAACCATATATCGAGCCCGATCGTCGATTTCAAATGATTTAATGTAATAGTTTGCCTGAATGGCCATCGTAATCGGGCTCTTTGAAGATCCAAAAATCCACGGTTTTCAAAAATGTCTGATTGGATTGGCAAAAACTTCAGAATTGGTATTGACCGCCATTCAAAGCGTTGTTTTCCCCCAAAAGTGGGTGGGGCCGTAATTTTCGTCCGGAAGTGTCGTAGGTGTTATTCTCGTCTATTTCGATTTTTTTTTTAGAATACATTTTTTTTTTTCTCAAAATTCGATATTTTTCAAAGATCTTCAAGAAATCCGTTTTGTTCTCCATATTCTACAATTTTTCCAATTTGGGATTATTTTCAGAATCCCGATTTTTTGCCCAAATTCAGGGTTTTTTTCTCCAAATTCTGACTTTTTCAAGAAATTCGTTATTTTCTCCAAATTCTGACTTTTTTCAGAATCCTGATTTTTTCCTCAAAATGTTGTTCAGATTACTACTTTTGTCACAGGATTCTTTTTTTTCACGTTGTGAGTTGGGACTTTTTTCAGAATTCAGACTTTCTTCTTTTTTTACAAATGACACCTTCAGTTTATGGGATGGCCGGATTTTTGTCCAGCTTGACATTTAAAATATGCAGAGTTGTAGAAACAGGATCAAAAGTTCAAAAGAAACACAGAAGTGAGAAGTTCTTCCAGACATTATATTTTTTGTTTTGCTAAAAGAGGAAGTGAATTATCGTTGATAGGAAACAGGAAGTTGAGCTGTCTGAAACCTTTTAAACAAACACAAAAACCCCCCTACTTTAACTTTCACGTAAACGAACGAAACTCGCTACGCATATCTAAGGTGCGGAGACGAACAAAAAAGCCTCTTGGAGGGGTATAAAATAACGTACAGGAAGTCGGCCATTTTGAATTTGGCGTCGAAAAAGGCGTCAAAAAACGCCATTTATCGCGTTTTTCGTCCTCCGCGCAAAATCTATCTTCTCCCAGGGACTTTATCCGTACGACTCGAAATTCGTCGGGTAGCATCTCGAGACATGGGCAATTAAAAGTTATCACGGAAGTTTTTTTCTTTCGCACGGCGCAGCCGTTATTTGGCGCCAAAGTTCGCGTTCGCTCGATGCTAGGCCCATCAAACTAATACGATGATGTCATAACTCAAACTGACATGCTCACAACGCCACCAAACTTCACAATGTTGTCTTAAGTCAATGGAAAATGCTCCAAACTGCACCAGACTTCAGATGACAGTTAATGGTCTGGCCCTCAACAGCACTATGCCAATTATGGGATGTCATCATATGCCGTTTCCATGGCAACGAATCACTCGCCGTAAAACACGATGTTGTCTTAAGTCAATGGAAAATGGTTCAAACTGCACCAGACTTCAGATGATGGCTACGAGTCCGGCCCTCAACAGCACTATGTCAATTATGGGGTGTCATCATATGCCGTTTCCATGGCAACGCATCCCTCACCAAAAAACATGAAGTTGTCTTAAGTCAATGGAAAAGCTTCCAAACTGCACCAGACTTCAGATGACAGTTAATGGTCCGGCCCTCAACAGCTCTACGCCAATTCTGGGATGTCATCATATGCCGTTTCCATGGCAACGCATTCCTCGCCATAAAACACAATGTTGTCTTAAGTCAATGGAAAATGATCCAAACTGCACCAGACTTCAGATGACAGTTAATGGTCCGGCCCTCAACAGCTCTACGTGAAATCTGAGATCTCACCGTATGCCGTTTCCATGGCAACGCATCACTCGCCATAAAACACGGTGTCGCTGTAAATCCAATGGACACGGTCCCATTGTCCCCCAATCTTCACTTTTATATCACCGGTCCATGCCTCAACAGCTCTACGTGAAATATGAGATCTCATTGCATGCCGTTTCCATGGCAACGAATCACTCGCCGTAAAACACAATGTTGTTTTAAGTCATTGGAAAAGGTTCCAAACTGCACCACACTTCAGATGACAGTTAATGGTCCGGCCTTCAACAGCTCTACGTGAAATCCGAGATCTCACCGTATGCCGTTTCCATGGCAACGAATCACTCGCCATAAAACACGATGTTGTCTTAAGTCAATGGAAAAGCTTCCAAACTGCACCAGACTTCAGATGACAGTTAATGGTCCGGCCCTCAACAGCTCTACGTGAAATCTGAGATCTCACCGTATGCCGTTTCCATGGCAACGCATCCCTCACCAAAAAACACGAAGTTGTCTTAAGTCAATGGAAAATGGTCCAAACTGCACCAGACTTCAGATGACGACTACTAGTCCGCCCCTCAACAGCTCTACGCCAATTCTGGGATGTCATCATATGCCGTTGCCATGGCGATAGATCACTCGCCATCAAACACAATGTTTACTGTATGATACTGCTGTAACTCCCATTTACGTTGTCCGATCGGCCTGAAACTTCCCACGTTTGCCAACGGCCGAGTCCGGAAAACTCCTGCATGATACCTCGACGTGCGGACAACAGCCTGCGGAGCGTCGAAGACCCGCTCAACGCTGCTTGCAGCTTTAATTATTATTATTATTATTATTATTATTATAATTGACATTATTATTATTTATTATTATTATTATAATAATTGTTTTTATTATTGTTATTATTCAGAATCAGAATACCTTTATTCGTAAAGTACACACATATTAAAGATTAAAACAAATTAAGAAATTACACAATTGACAAAATACACATCCTGTTACAGTTATTATTGTTGTTGTTGTTGTTATTTGTCCTGCCTCTCACCCTGCAGTAGGGCGATGGAGGTGTCCTGGCTGACGTCCTGCCCCCCCCGGCTGAAGTGTCTGGAGATCTGAGGACTTTTTCCTCTGAAGTCGGTGGTGGAGGCGGTGAAAAGCTCTCCGTCTGCGCAGAGAACAACAATACGTTTAATATGACCTCAAATAAACTTTGATTTCATGAAGCATCTCTAAAACCTGCATCAGAGACCAGAGGCCTGTACGACGAAGCCGGTTCAACATAACCTGGATATGTGTGAGTTACCCGGTTTACCTAATCCAAAACAAACGCGCTCTCGCTAAGCGGTCCTACGACACTGATTATCAACTCGGTAACTCAAGCTGACACAATCTGCACTTTACAACGCTCTGTTTGTACACATGTTGCTATCTGTCTGCTTTGTGAATATGTATTTTTGTTTTGTTTTTATGTTTTGATATATGCTTTTATCATAATATAAGCATCTATGTTGAATGTTGTTTTACTGATTGTATTTACCTGTCATTTGAATTGACATTTTCTTTTTTAGGATGACTTTCAACATCTGTCCAGGGACTGCAGATGAAAAATAGCCTGTTGGCTAACTCTGGCGCATTTACAGAAATGTCAATCAATGTGCACTGTCCCTGTCAAATAAATAAATAAATAAATAAGCCAGGGTTTCTCTGTCCGGCTGGGTGCGCGTTCACATGAAAGGGGCGGGGTTAGCAACATTTGACCAATCACAAACATGGAGGAGCGTACTGACAGTGCAGCGTCATACTTCCTGAATGAAAAGTGAACTTTAATATTAGTCAAATATGAAGACGTTAAACTTTAAACATCCATGACTTAAACACTTTATCCAGGATCAAAGCCACATAGCTGCACCTGCAAGGTGAATACAGCTGGTAACAGAGAAAGTGTTTGAATGCGTACATTAACAGGTTTATAATATCACTGCCCCGTCTAAGACACGATCTGACTTTAATTACATTTGACTCCAGTGTTTCGTCAACTTAATGTGTTGCTTAAAATAATACTTCTGCATACAGTATGTGACACTGTAAGTGTAACTCAAACATATCCAGGGTATGTTGAACCGGCTTCGTGGTACAGGCCTCAGGTCAGAACGCTTTAATAAAGGAATGATTCTCTGTTGCTCTTCATGATGTTTCTGTGTTTAATAATGTGTATTAATCTTTAGTAACGGACGTTCAGACTGACCCACGGTGAGGGCGCTGTTTCTCTGCAGCGGGCTGAACGGACAGCGTAGCTTAGCTTTAGCATCGACGAGTCCAACCAGAGAGAAGCTTTCTGCGTCCTGAAGACCAATCACAGAGTCACAGAGCCACAGAGCCACAGAGCCACAGAGTCACTGAGTCACAGAGTCACTGAGTCACAGAGTCACAGAGTCACTGAGTCACAGAGTCACTGAGTCACAGAGTCACAGAGTCACTGAGTCACAGAGCCACTGAGTCACAGAGTCACAGAGCCACTGAGTCACAGAGCCACAGAGCCACAGAGCCACAGAGCCACAGAGCCACTGAGCCACAGAGCCACTGAGTCACAGAGTCACTGAGTCACAGAGTCACAGAGTCACAGAGCCACTGAGTCACAGAGCCACAGAGCCACAGAGTCACAGAGCCACTGAGTCACTGAGTCACAGAGCCACAGAGCCACTGAGTCACAGAGCCACAGAGCCACAGAGCCACAGAGCCACTGAGTCACAGAGCCACTGAGTCACTGAGTCACAGAGTCACAGAGTCACAGAGCCACTGAGCCACAGAGCCACAGAGCCACAGAGCCACAGAGTCACTGAGTCACTGAGTCACTGAGCCACTGAGCCACTGAGCCACTGAGTCACAGAGCCACTGAGTCACTGAGTCACAGAGTCACTGAGTCACAGAGTCACAGAGTCACTGAGTCACAGAGCCACTGAGTCACTGAGTCACTGAGTCACAGAGTCACAGAGTCACAGAGCCACTGAGCCACTGAGTCACTGAGTCACTGAGTCACAGAGCCACTGAGTCACTGAGTCACTGAGTCACAGAGTCACAGAGTCACTGAGTCACAGAGTCACAGAGCCACTGAGCCACTGAGTCACTGAGTCACTGAGTCACAGAGTCACAGAGCCACTGAGTCACAGAGTCACTGAGTCACAGAGTCACAGAGTCACAGAGCCACTGAGTCACAGAGTCACTGAGTCACAGAGCCACTGAGCCACTGAGTCACAGAGCCACTGAGTCACTGAGTCACAGAGTCACTGAGTCACTGAGTCACAGAGTCACAGAGCCACTGAGTCACAGAGTCACAGAGCCACTGAGTCACTGAGTCACTGAGTCACTGAGCCACTGAGTCACTGAGTCACAGAGTCACAGAGTCACTGAGCCACTGAGTCACTGAGTCACTGAGTCACTGAGTCACAGAGTCACAGAGTCACTGAGTCACAGAGTCACTGAGTCACTGGAAGATCCATCATTTATATCAGTCAGTGATATACAGTAAGTATTCAGATGTCAACAAGATCTGAGAACTTCTACTTTTAAGTACTTGAGTAAAAGTAAAAGTACTCAGATCTTGTTCTTGAGTAAAAGTAAAAGTACTCAGATCTTGTACTTGAGTAAAAGTAGAAGTACTCAGATCTTGTACTTGAGTAAAAGTAGAAGTTCTCAGATCGTGTACTTGAGTAAAAGTAAAAGTACTCAGATCTTGTTAGTAAAAGTAAAAGTACTCAGATCTTGTACTTGAGTAAAAGTAGAAGTACTCAGATCTTGTACTTGAGTAAAAGTAGAAGTACTCAGATATTGTACTTGAGTAAAAGTAGAAGTACTCAGATCTTGTTCTTGAGTAAAAGTAGAAGTACTCAGATATTGAACTTGAGTAAAAGTAGAAGTACTCAGATCTTGTACTTGAGTAAAAGTAGAAGTACTCAGATCTTGTACTTGAGTAAAAGTAGAAGTACTCAGATCTTGTTCTTGAGTAAAAGTAGAAGTACTCAGATATTGTACTTGAGTAAAAGTAGAAGTACTCAGATATTGTACTTGAGTAAAAGTAGAAGTACTCAGATCTTGTACTTGAGTAAAAGTAGAAGTACTCAGATCTTGTTCTTGAGTAAAAGTAGAAGTACTCAGATATTGAACTTGAGTAAAAGTAGAAGTACTCAGATCTTGTACTTGAGTAAAAGTAGAAGTACTCAGATCTTGTACTTGAGTAAAAGTAGAAGTACTCAGATATTGTACTTGAGTAAAAGTAGAAGTACTCAGATCTTGTTCTTGAGTAAAAGTAGAAGTACTCAGATATTGAACTTGAGTAAAAGTAGAAGTACTCAGATCTTGTACTTGAGTAAAAGTAGAAGTACTCAGATCTTGTACTTGAGTAAAAGTAGAAGTACTCAGATATTGTACTTGAGTAAAAGTAGAAGTACTCAGATCTTGTTCTTGAGTAAAAGTAGAAGTACTCAGATATTGAACTTGAGTAAAAGTAGAAGTACTCAGATCTTGTACTTGAGTAAAAGTAGAAGTACTCAGATATTGTACTTGAGTAAAAGTAGAAGTACTCAGATATTGTACTTGAGTAAAAGTAGAAGTACTCAGATCTTGTTCTTGAGTAAAAGTAGAAGTACTCAGATCTTGTTCTTGAGTAAAAGTAGAAGTATTCCGATCTTGTATATTATTATTTTTCAGGAAAATAATAAATCCTTAATACATATGCAGTGATGGATAATGACCATGTTACTGTTGTAGCTCGTATTTATTATATTTACCTCTCCACAAAGTTAAATAATATACAGTACTTGAGAAACTACACGTGGTTATTTTCCACCACCAGCGTTACTGAAGCAGAAATGAAAGTGAGTTTCAGTGATTCACGTACGATGAAGGCGTCGTGGGGGCTGAAGGCGAAGCTGCCGCAGACGTACAGGTGAGACGAGTTCACCTGAGAGAGGACGCTCACGAAGTTAGGACAGTCCACCTGAGAGAGGACAACAGGAAGTTAGGACAGTCCACCTGAGAGAGGACAACAGGAAGTTAGGACAGTCCACCTGAGAGAGGACAACAGGAAGTTAGGACAGTCAACCTGAGAGAGGACAACAGGAAGTTAGGACAGTCAACCTGAGAGAGGACAACAGGAAGTTAGGACAGTCCACCTGAGAGAGGACAACAGGAAGTTAGGACAGTCAACCTGAGAGAGGACAACAGGAAGTTAGGACAGTCAACCTGAGAGAGGAGAACATGAAGTTAGGACAGTCCACCTGAGAGAGGACAACAGGAAGTTAGGACAGTCAACCTGAGAGAGGACAACAGGAAGTTAGGACAGTCCACCTGAGAGAGGACAACAGGAAGTTAGGACAGTCCACCTGAGAGAGGACAACAGGAAGTTAGGACAGTCCACCTGAGAGAGGACAACAGGAAGTTAGGACAGTCCACCTGAGAGAGGACAACATGAAGTTAGGACAGTCAACCTGAGAGAGGACAACAGGAAGTTAGGACAGTCAACCTGAGAGAGGACAACAGGAAGTTAGGACAGTCCACCTGAGAGAGGACAACAGGAAGTTAGGACAGTCCACCTGAGAGAGGACAACAGGAAGTTAGGACAGTCAACCTGAGAGAGGACAACAGGAAGTTAGGACAGTCCACCTGAGAGAGGACAACAGGAAGTTAGGACAGTCCACCTGAGAGAGGACAACATGAAGTTAGGACAGTCAACCTGAGAGAGGACAACAGGAAGTTAGGACAGTCCACCTGAGAGAGGACAACAGGAAGTTAGGACAGTCCACCTGAGAGAGGACAACAGGAAGTTAGGACAGTCAACCTGAGAGAGGACAACAGGAAGTTAGGACAGTCAACCTGAGAGAGGACAACAGGAAGTTAGGACAGTCAACCTGAGAGAGGACAACAGGAAGTTAGGACAGTCAACCTGAGAGAGGACAACAGGAAGTTAGGACAGTCAACCTGAGAGAGGACAACAGGAAGTTAGGACAGTCAACCTGAGAGAGGACAACAGGAAGTTAGGACAGTCCACCTGAGAGAGGACAACAGGAAGTTAGGACAGTCAACCTGAGAGAGGACAACAGGAAGTTAGGACAGTCAACCTGAGAGAGGACAACAGGAAGTTAGGACAGTCCACCTGAGAGAGGACAACAGGAAGTTAGGACAGTCCACCTGAGAGAGGACAACAGGAAGTTAGGACAGTCAACCTGAGAGAGGACAACAGGAAGTTAGGACAGTCAACCTGAGAGAGGACAACAGGAAGTTAGGACAGTCAACCTGAGAGAGGACAACAGGAAGTTAGGACAGTCAACCTGAGAGAGGACAACATGAAGTTAGGACAGTCCACCTGAGAGAGGAGAACATGAGAGACACAGGGACCAGAGATGGCAAAAGTACACGTCCTTTACTCAGGTAGAAGTACAGATACTCGTGTTTAAAAATACTCTGGTGAAAGTAGAAGTACTGACTAAACTTCTTTACTCAAGTAAAAGTAAAGAGGCTTTGAAATGTACTTCAGTAAAAAGTACCCAAGTGTTTCAACATGTAAGAAGTACAAAGTACAGGTATTTGTGTTCAACATGTAAGAAGTAGAAAGTATAGGTATTTGAGTTCAACATGTGAGAAGTAGAAAGTACAGGTATTTGGGTTCAACATGTAAGAAGTAGAAAGTACAGGTATTTGTGTTCAACATGTGAGAAGTAGAAAGTACAGGTATTTGTGTTCAACATGTAAGAAGTAGAAAGTACAGGTATTTGTGTTCAACATGTAAGAAGTAGAAAGTACAGGTATTTGTGTTCAAAATGTAAGAAGTAGAAAGTACAGGTATTTGTGTTCAACATGTAAGAAGTAGAAAGTACAGGTATTTGTGTTCAAAATGTAAGAAGTCAAAGTAAAAAGTGGTCAGAAAAATAAGTAGTGGAGTAAAGTACTGATACCAGAAACATGTACTTAAGCACAGTAACAAAGTATTTGTATTCCACTACTTCCTACCTCTGAACAGTTTTCAACACACATCAACGTCCAGGATGTTAAACCTGGAGCTCATGATCACATCGAGGACAGAGTTTCCCAAAGGGTACTATCTGAGGAACCCTTAACTGACACTTTAAGAGACACCTGAACTTAAGGTGTTTTTATCTAAAGGAACCCTTAACTGACACTTTAAGAGACACCTGAACTTAAGGTGTTTTTATCTAAAGGAACCCTTAACTAAGACTTTAAGAGACACCTGAACTTAAGGTGTTTTATGTAAAGGAACCCTTAACTGAGACTGTAAGAGACACCTGAACTTAAGGTGTTTTTATGTAAAGGAACCCTTAACTGAGACTGTAAGAGACACCTGAACTTAAGGTGTTTTTATTTAAGGGAACCCTTAACTAAGACTTTAAGAGACACCTGAACTTAAGGTGTTTTTATGTAAAGGAACCCTTAACTGAGACTGTAAGAGACACCTGAACTTAAGGTGTTTTTATTTAAGGGAACCCTTAACTAAGACTTTAAGAGACACTTGAACTTAAGGTGTTTTAATTTAAAGGAACTCTTAACTGAGACTTTAAAAGACACCTGAACTTAAGGTGTTTTTATCTAAAGAAACCCTTAACTGAGACTTTAAGAGACACCTGAACTTAAGTTGTTTTTATCTAAAGGAACCCTTAACTGAGACTTTAAGAGACACCTGAACTTAAGTTGTTTTTATCTAAAGGAACCCTTAACTGAGACTTTAAGAGACACCTGAACTTAAGGTGTTTTTATTTAAAGGAACTCTTAACTGAGACTTTAAGAGACACCTGAACTTAAGTTGTTTTTATCTAAAGGAACCCTTAACTGAGACTTTAAGAGACACCTGAACTTAAGTTGTTTTTATCTAAAGGAACCCTTAACTGAGACTTTAAGAGACACCTGAACTTAAGGTGTTTTTATTTAAAGGAACTCTTAACTGAGACTTTAAGAGACACCTGAACTTAAGGTGTTTTTATCTAAAGGAACCCTTAACTAACACTTTAAGAGACACCTGAACGCACCATCAGCATGAGCAAAGGTGAAATGTAATCCTGAAGTTATGGGATGAATGTTGTATAAGATAAGAAAACAAACGACCTGGGTTATAGGTTAGGGACCAGAAAGACGTGTTATACCTTTTGCAGAAGTATTTGTTGTTAAAAATGTGAATATAGCACTTAATAAAGTTTGTAATCACCTCAGCGTCCTTCCCTTTATTCTGACACTCTGTGATTTCACTCTGAGACGGACGCCACTCCACCTGGAGACAGAAAGAGAAAACACTAAACATCCATCATCACCACAAAGCATCATGGGGGATATAGTAGACGGGGCTCACCTTTCTCTTCAGGCTGATGACATCACTCTGGCTGACATCCAATGAGAACACGGCGTCTCGAGCCCCGACGAATAGCGTGGAGCCGTCGTCGCTTAGCAACAAGGTCGTGCTGTTCAGGAGGTCGGGGGGGCGGAAGAAGACCAGGGGGCGCTCTGCAGAGTCTGAACACACACACACACACACACACACACACACACACACACACACACACACACACACACACAGTTTACTAGGCAGAGATGGCAAAAGTACACACATCCTTTCCTCAAGTAGAAGTACAGATACTCGTGTTTAAAAATACTCTGGTGAAAGTAGAAGTACTGACTAAACTTCTTTACTCAAGTCAAAGTAAAGAGGCTTTGAAATGTACTTCAGTAAAAAGTACCCATAACTAGCAGCTGTTTTAAAGAGTACCTGACCTCCCTTTATATTAATAGAACAATAATGTCATTGTTAGCTAATGAATGTTTCCATGCTGAACAACGGCAACATGACAACGTTTTCATTGGTCCCTCTTCTTTAGAGAAGACCAGGAAATGATGGATACACGGATCGTGTTCAAATCAATAGGCACGCAATGACTCTAAATAATAATGATCACGCCACCAAACACACATTCAAACTAAAGGAACCAGCCTGTTTGGGAAATGAGAGAAGTAGAAAGTACAGGTATTTGGGTTCAACATGTGAGAAGTAGAAAGTACAGGTATTTGTGTTCAACATGTAAGAAGTAGAAAGTACAGGTATTTGAGTTCAACATGTAAGAAGTAGAAAGTACAGGTATTTGTGTTCAACATGTGAGAAGTAGAAAGTACAGGTATTTGTGTTCAACATGTAAGAAGTAGAAAGTACAGGTATTTGTGTTCAACATGTAAGAAGTAGAAAGTACAGGTATTTGGGTTCAACATGTAAGAAGTAGAAAGTACAGGTATTTGTGTTCAACATGTAAGAAGTAGAAAGTACAGGTATTTGTGTTCAACATGTAAGAAGTAGAAAGTACAGGTATTTGTGTTCAACATGTGAGAAGTAGAAAGTACAGGTATTTGTGTTCAACATGTGAGAAGTAGAAAGTACAGGTATTTGGGTTCAACATGTAAGAAGTAGAAAGTACAGGTATTTGTGTTCAACATGTAAGAAGTAGAAAGTACAGGTATTTGGGTTCAACATGTAAGAAGTAGAAAGTACAGGTATTTGTGTTCAACATGTAAGAAGTAGAAAGTACAGGTATTTGGGTTCAACATGTAAGAAGTAGAAAGTACAGGTATTTGAGTTCAACATGTAAGAAGTAGAAAGTACAGGTATTTGGGTTCAACATGTAAGAAGTAGAAAGTACAGGTATTGTGTTCAACATGTAAGAAGTAGAAAGTACAGGTATTTGTGTTCAACATGTAAGAAGTAGAAAGTACAGGTATTTGTGTTCAAAATGTAAGAAGTAGAAAGTACAGGTATTTGTGTTCAAAATGTAAGAAGTAGAAAGTACAGGTATTTGGGTTCAAAATACCATCTCAAAAACATTGCCAGACTCCGCCCCTCACTCTCTGACTCAGTGGCAGAAACACTCATACACGCCTTCATCACATCCCGTCTGGACTACTGCAATGGAGTCCTGTCCGGGGTTCCCAGCTAAACCCTGGCCAGGCTCCAATATGTCCAGAACTCTGCCGCCAGGCTTCTCACCCGCACTAAGCCATGGCAACACATCACCCCCACCCTCATCCACCTCCACTGGCTGCCGGTCAAGTCCCGGATTCACTACAAAACACTCCTCCTCACGTACAAGTCCCTCCATACCCTCGCCCCCCAGTACCTAACAGACCTCCTACATCCCTACACCCCCTCTCGGAGTCTGCGGTCCTCCGACACGGGCCTGCTCTCCATCCCCCGCTCTCGCCTTCGTACTGTGGGTGACAGGGCGTTCAGTGTTGCGGCCCCCACCCTCTGGAATGCACTTCCTCCTGAGATCCGGAACGCTGCCTCACTGGACATCTTCAAATCCTCACTGAAAAGGCACCTGTTCACCGTGGCCTTCGGACCCTAGTCCTTTCCTGGTCCCCTGGCTTCCTTTATTTTATTTTATTTTATTTTATTGTTTTGTTCGCTCCTCATTGTCTGTTTTCTTTTGTCTGTCCACCATGTACAGCGACCTTGGGTCCCGTGAAAGGCGCTTTATAAATTCCATTTATTATTATTATTATCAAAATGTAAGAAGTAGAAAGTACAGGTATTTGTGTTCAAAATGTAAGAAGTAGAAAGTACAGGTATTTGTGTTCAACATGTAAGAAGTAGAAAGTACAGGTATTTGTGTTCAACATGTAAGAAGTAGAAAGTACAGGTATTTGTGTTCAACATGTAAGAAGTAGAAAGTACAGGTATTTGTGTTCAACATGTAAGAAGTAGAAAGTACAGGTATTTGTGTTCAACATGTAAGAAGTAGAAAGTACAGGTATTTGTGTTCAACATGTAAGAAGTAGAAAGTACAGGTATTTGGGTTCAACATGTAAGAAGTAGAAAGTACAGGTATTTGGGTTCAACATGTAAGAAGTAGAAAGTACAGGTATTTGTGTTCAACATGTGAGAAGTAGAAAGTACAGGTATTAGTGTTCAACATGTAAGAAGTAGAAAGTACAGGTATTTGTATTCAACATGTAAGAAGTAGAAAGTACAGGTATTTGTGTTCAACATGTAAGAAGTAGAAAGTACAGGTATTTGTGTTCAACATGTAAGAAGTAGAAAGTACAGGTATTTGTGTTCAACATGTAAGAAGTAGAAAGTACAGGTATTTGTGTTCAACATGTAAGAAGTAGAAAGTACAGGTATTTGAGTTCAACATGTAAGAAGTAGAAAGTACAGGTATTTGGGTTCAACATGTAAGAAGTCAAAGTAAAAAGTGGTCAGAAAAATAATTAGTGGAGTAAAGTACTGATACCAGAAACATGTACTTAAGTACAGTAACAAAGTATTTGTACTCCACTACTTCCCACCTCTGAACAGGGCTGAAACAGAGGGGATTATGGGATGCTGCAATGATCTATTTGGTCTTTCAGCCAATCAGAGACAGGCTCTGTATTCATCTGAGACCTGTAATATACTGTGGAGAAAGAATATCAGAATAGCTGACCTTTAAAGTGAAACAGCAAAGCTCTAACCACGTCTTGCAGGTTTTATCATGAGATCTTGAACCACAAAAGCCTTCCCAGCATGCACTCTGCCAGGAAACACTGGGTATTAATATCATGAGGTTGTTCTCTGAGTTTACAGCGAGAACAGAGACCAGGTCAGAAGTGAGGATATGAATATCAGCTTTCACAGGAAGTGGTTCAGAGCTGCAGAGGTCTTTTTCTGATCTCACACGAACATGAACAGAGACGAGACAATTAGATCAAGATCAGAAACAAGTCGTCTCACGGTCTGAGGGCTGAAAGCAGATGGTCACATTTATTCATTTGAATAAGTCACGTTACATGTTGAAATCTGTATGTAGTCTTTGTCTGTGAAATAAGACCCTGCAACACGGGATATACACCTGAACATCAGAGGAGAGGACTCTTTAAAGTAGAGACACTACATACTGTACTGATATACACCTGAACATCAGAGGAGAGGACTCTTTAAAGTAGAGACACTACATACTGATATACACCTGAACATCAGCAGGAGAGAACTCTTTAAAGTAGAGACACTACATACTGATATACACCTGAACATCAGCAGGAGAGGACTCTTTAAAGTAGAGACACTACATACTGATATACACCTGAACATCAGCAGGAGAGGACTCTTTAAAGTAGAGACACTACATACTGATATACACCTGAACATCAGAGGAGAGGACTCTTTAAAGTAGAGACACTACATACTGATATACACCTGAACATCAGCAGGAGAGGACTCTTTAAAGTAGAGACACTACATACTGATATACACCTGAACATCAGCAGGAGAGGACTCTTTAAAGTAGAGACACTACATACTGATATACACCTGAACATCAGCAGGAGAGGACTCTTTAAAGTAGAGACACTACATACTGATATACACCTGAACATCAGCAGGAGAGGACTCTTTAAAGTAGAGACACTACATACTGATATACACCTGAACATCAGCAGGAGAGGACTCTTTAAAGTAGAGACACTACATACTGATATACACCTGAACATCAGCAGGAGAGGACTCTTTAAAGTAGAGACACTACATACTGATATACACCTGAACATCAGCAGGAGAGGACTCTTTAAAGTAGAGACACTACATACTGATATACACCTGAACATCAGATGAGAGGACTCTTTAAAGTAGAGACACTACATACTGATATACACCTGAATAAGTCAGTCACACGACAGCAGGGGTCTTCCTTTCTGCCTGAAGACCCTCATTTGCATATTAAACTGTGTGTGTGATTTAATGACATTATTCATATCTTTATTATTGCTGCCTTTGTAGCTGCTATGCTGCAGGACTCATGAAGGACTTCTGATTCTGATGCAGGACGTCCTGAACTGCGCACCACGTTAAGCCATTTCAAAAATAAATAAAACGTAGACGTGGCTTTGTATTCTTTGCGCACTGACTTAGCACAGGTTAGCTTGTTCACATGGTAGAGCAGGCTATCATTAGCACAGGTTAGCTTGTTCACATGGTAGAGCAGGCTATCATTAGCACAGGTTAGCTTGTTCACATGGTAGAGCAGGCTATCATTAGCACAGGTTAGCTTGTTCACATGGTAGAGCAGGCTATCATTAGCACAGGTTAGCTTGTTCACATGGTAGAGCAGGCTATCATTAGCACAGGTTAGCTTGTTCACATGGTAGAGCAGGCTATCATTAGCACAGGTTAGCTTGTTCACATGGTAGAGCAGGCTATCATTAGCACATGGGAAGAAGGTGGAGTATTTCATCTGCTGTCAATCAATTAGAAATGTGATTCATTTAGTTTAAATTGGTGCTGTTAGACCTGACAGCTGCCTTCGACACTGTGGACAATAGCATCCTGTTGTCACGGCTTGAACAGTCCGCTGGCATCACAGGCTCTGCCCTTGCATGGTTCAGGTCCTATCTGACAGACCGTAGCTTCTCAGTGCAGCTAGGTGCCTTCTCCTCTGCCAAAGCCCCTCTTACCTGTGGGGTTCCCCAAGGCTCGATCCTGGGCCCCATCCTCT